AACTGAATCTAAAAAAAAAACTCAGCAAGCAACTAGAACAGGAACAGAATCACAGAAATGGAGATCACATGGAGGGTTATCAGAGGGGAGAGGGAGGGGTAAAATGGGGAAAAGGTACAGGGAATAAGAAGCATAACTGGCAGGCACAAAATAGACAGGGGGAGGTTAAGAACAGCACAGGAAATGGAGAAACCAAAGAACTTATATGTGCGACCCATGGACATGACTAAGGGAGGGGGATGCTGGTGGGAGGGGTGGTACAGGGCAAAGGGGAATAAAGGGGAGGAAAAAAAAATGGGACAACTGTAATAGCATAATCAATAAATGTATTTTTAAAAAAAGCTTCTAGTAAAAAAAATGTAAATAAATTAACAGGCAAATATTAACCAAAATAAAGCTGGCAGAGCTATGTTAACATCAGACATAATAGGCTTTCAGACAAAATTATTAGGGCTAAGGTGGGTCCTTATATACTGACAAATACTTCAAGTCACCTGTAATAGCTAATGATTCTAATCTTTTAAGAATTTAGATAAACTAAAGCAAGGTCTACATTTGTGACCATCCCACAGCTTCCCAGGTGAGGGTGGAGACAGTGACTGAAGAAATTCGATTCTCACACTGCCCCAAGCAAACCACTTACACCCAAGAGCTCCTCAGAGATCTAGAAGAGGAGAAGTGAAGACTCTAAAATAAAATGTGTTTGCCACAGGGAAGGACAAACAGGAACGGAAAAGAAAGCCCCTCCTGTGCAACAGGAGAACCCAGCTCCTGAGCTCTGAACTGGTGAAGGAAATCCAGGAGAGGCAAAAATTCCTGACTGAGGAATTTTTGGAGCCCAAGGACAGGGCAGGCAGTACGGAGGAATCATCCTTGCTGAAACCTCCCTGAAACTATGGAAAACGGAAGACACTGACTACAAGAGGAGTGAGGAACTTAGTAAGGCTCTCACCACCACTTATTCTGTCTCCAGAGATGAGGACAGAGTAGCCCAACCTTGACCACTGGAGCCCACCACTTACCAAGCAGGGTCATCCCCAGGTCAACCCACCCACCCTGGCCTTCAGCCAAGTCATACCATTGCACAGCACTGCCCTGGCCAAGGGTACCCCAGGCATATATAGCACTCTGAAAAAGGAACCACATCAGAGAATGAACTGATTCTCTTTGAAACTATGCCTAGAGATCCTGGGCCGGCTGTGCCTTTTAGACCCAGTCAGAGAAAACACACACACAACTTCGAATCTTTTCTGGGGGAACGACTCCACGTACAGTGAAAGCAAGGCCCAAGTCTCATCATCTTGGGTGTCTGAGGACATGCAATGAGCCCTCTTCCCACCACTTTCACCCAGTGTGTCCCCACATTGTTTTCTGAATTTAGTAATGAGTATAATTTCTTTCTTACCTTTCTTCGGGTGTACTTATTTGACTTCTTACAGCCTTAGGCAAGTATTTAACTACTATGATTATCCAGCCAAAAAAAACACATTTAGCCCTGGTCAGGTGACTCAGTTGGAGCTTTGTCCCATACACCAAAAGGTAGCAAGTTCAATTCCTGGTCAGGACACATATCTAGGTTGTGGGTTTAATCCCTAGTCTGTGTAAAGGAGGCAACCAATCAATGTTTCTCTCCCACATAGTTGTTCCTCTCTCCATCTTTCTCTCTCTCCTCCTCTCTCTCTAAAATCAATAAACATATCTTCAGGTGAGGGTTTAAAAAAACAGCTAGGCCTGGCTGGCGTGGCTCAATTGACTGAGTGCTGGCCTGAGAACCAAAGGGTTGCCAGTTCGATTCCCAGTCAGGACACATGCCTGAGTTGCAGGCCAGGTTCCCAGTAAGGGGCGTGCAAGAGGCAAGCACACGTTGATGTTTCTCTCCCTCTCTTCCCTTCTGTCTAAAAATAAAAAAAAATAAAATCTTTAAAAAATAAAAATAATTTTAAATGCCAATGATAAGATACTGATGAAAAAGTAGAAGAGTCATACTTTATACCTATAAAGTATAATTAAAACTATATTGCAGGGTAGACAAGTTGATCAATGGGATAAAATAAAGGCAAGATACACATCTTTGTGGAATTTTGCTGTGTGACAAAGAGAGCACTGCAGATCAAGTAGGGAAAGTTTTCCATAAATGGTTTCAATCTAATTATTATATATATATAGAAAAAATTAGATTCCCACCTCATAACACACATAAAAATCAATTCTAGGTAAATTTAGGAGTTAAAAGGAAAAGCAAATTCTATAATATGAAGAAGAAAATTTAGTATAGTATTTTTCTGACCTTGGAATTAAAAAAGGGTTCCTTTCTTTTTTTAGATTAATCTTAGGGAGGGGGGAGAGAGAGAGAAAGAGAAGCATCTATTTGTTGTTCCACTTATTTATGAATTCCTTGGTTAAGTTTTTTGTGTCCCCCAACCACGGATTGAACCTGCAACCTTGGCATATCGGGACAATGCTCTAATCGGCTGAGCTACTTGGGCCAGGGCTTAACTATAGCTATATTTTTAAAAGCAAGAGCATGAGGATTACCAGTCAAGATGGAGACATAGGAAGACAGGCTTCACCTCCTTGTGCAACCACAGAGAATTACAACTAGTTCTCAAAACATAACCACCAGAATCATCAGAAAATCAAGCTGTGTGGAAGTCCACCAACCAAGGATTTAAAGAAGTCACATTTATCCATGAGTAGGAGTGGCAGAGTTGCAAAGACAAGAAGAGGTGCAGAGACATGGTATGGTGCCCAGAGGCAGTGGTGGCTGAATGGGTGGTCCACATTCATGTGTGGTGGGTAAAAATGGGGAGGGCTACCTTAGGAACAAGCGACCCCAGCCTCAGGTCAGACCGCACAGCCCATGGTTCCAGCACCAGGAAGATAAATCCCCATAACTTCTGGCTATAAAAACCAGTTGGGGTCCTGGCTGGTATGGCTCAGTGGATTGAGTGCTAGCCTGCGAAACAAAGGGTCACAGGTTCGATTCCCATCAGGGCACATGACTGTGTTGCAGGCCAGGTTCCCAGTGAGGGGCACATGGGAGACAACCACACATTCATGTTTCTCTCCCTCTCTTTCTCCTACCATTCCCGCCCCCTAGACAGAAATAGATAAAATGTCAAAAAAAAAAAAAAAATGAGTGGGGATAGGGGTGGGGAAGAAACTGCCAGATTTTCAGAAGAGTCCTTTGAAGGGCCTACACAGACTTAGAACCTATGCAAACCTACCCACTCTTGGATTCACCACCTGGGCAACAGCTGGAAGGGTGCCACTTGCATATGGGAAGTGGGTGAAGTAAATGGAAATAGGGCGAGTGCTGGGCAAAGCTCCAGAAGCCAGGCAGCAGCACTATCCCCTCTCTGAGACCTCCTCCCACACAGAGCCATAAAGTGGTCAGTAAAGCAGGTTGCCCCCGCCCCAGCAATTACTGAAGGCTCTGTCTGCCCCACACAATTTGCAGATGCCTTTCACAAGGAGTCAAAGCAGCTCTACTTAAAATACACAGAAACAAACAAAGGGAGGCTTCTGAATTGAGGAGACGAAGAAATATGACCCAAATGAACAGAGAGAACAACACTCTAGAAAAAGAACCAAATGAAATGGAGATAAACAATCTATCAGATGCAGAGTTCAAAATACTGGTTATTAAGATGCTCAAGGACTCACTGGGTACTTCAACAACATAAAAAAAAGACCCAAGCAGAAATGAAGGTGCACTAAGTAAAACACAGAAAAGTTTATAGGGAATCAACAGTGGAGTGAAGGAAGCCAAGAATCAAATCAATGATTTGGAACATAAGGAAGACAAAAACGTTCAGTCAGAACAGCAAGAAGAAAAAAGAATTTTAAAAAATGGGGATAGGCTAAGCAGCCTTCAGGACAACTTCAAATGTACCAACATTGGAATCATAGGAGTGCCAGAAGGAGAAGAGAAACAGCAAGAAACTGAAAACTTATTTGAAAAAAAAAATGAAAGAAAACTTCCCTACTTTGTTGAAGGAAATACACATATAAGTCTAGGAAGCACAGAGTCCCAAACCTGTCAGACCCAAAGAGGGACACACCAAGACACGTCATAATTAAAATGCCAAATGTTAAAGATAAAGAGAGAATCTTAAAAGCAGCAAGAGAAAACCAAGTTAAGTTACCTACAAACTAGTTCCCATAAGACTATTAGCTGATTTCTCAGAAGAAATTTTGCAGGCTAGGAGAGATTGGCAAGAAGTATTCTAAGTGATAAAAAGGAAGGACCTACAACCTAGATTATTCTACCCAGCAAAGCTATCATTTAGAATGGAAGGGCAGATAAAGTGCTTCCTGGACAAGGTAAAACCAAAGGAGTTCATCATCACCAAGTCATTATTACATGTAATATTAAAAGAAACTTATTATCTAAGAAAAAGAAGATCAAAACTATGAACATTAAAATGGCAATAAAGTCACAACTACCAACAACTGAATCTAAAAAAAAGAACTAACTAAACAAGCAGGACAGAAACAGACTCATAGATGTGAAGATCATTTGGAGGGTTATTAGCTGGGAGCAGGACGGGGGCAAATGGGGGGAAAGGTGCAGGGATTAAGAAGTAAACTGGGTAGGTATAGAATAGACAGGGGGAGGTTAAGAATAGTATGGAAAAGCCAAAGAACTTACCTGTATGACCCATGGACATGAACTAAGGAGGGGCACTACTGGAGGGAATGTGGGGCACCAGGTGGAAAGGGGGCAAAGAAGGAAGTATTGGGACAAGTGTAATATTACAATCAATGAAATATAAAAAAAAAACCTTTCCACTAATTAAAAATAAATAAATATAAAAGATAAAAAATACAAAAGAAAATAAAATAGACGAATAATGATAGCATATTGTGAACCAAGAGTTATAATTCCAATTCTGTGTAGAGGGTGTCCATTAACTGCCACTCCCTACACACACACACACATACACACAGAGGAAACAGTACACAGGACTTTCCCTTTCCTTCTCCTCACACCCTACCTGTGTCCGAGCATTGAGCAGCTGCTGGAAACTCTCAACCTCTTTGCTGTCATCTGCAGCACGCTCCTAAGGGAAGACAAAGGGAAATCTCACGTTTAGGGAGAAGCAGCCCTCACTGCAGGATATCCCCTTCCTTCCACAGTTACCGTCACACAATGTACCAGACACTAGAATACACGACTGAACAAGACCAACACACCTGTCCTCAGAGCTAGCAGAACAGTGAGGGAACCCAAATTCCCTGGGTACTGAAAAAGGAAAGAAGGGGCGTCTGTTACCATCAGCACACCCAACATCATGTCATAGTTGTTGATCAGAAACACAAGCTGCTCCTTCCTTGAGGAGAACTCAGCTGCCACTCGGAGGACAAAATTCTCCACTTCCACCTGGAAAAGCCAAAGGCAGTGACAGGAGAAGGTGGAAATACATGTTACACCCCAGTGGCTGCAGCTGCAGCTGGAACTGCCCCTCACCTGGAGCTGCCCAAGCAGCTGCATGGTCCGCTCATTGGGAATTGTCTGATTGATGCTGACGAGAGCAGAGGAAAACTCTGCGTATCGGCGCGTAATCTGGGAGAAAGAAAGTGGGAAGAAAAATCTTACCAAGCCTTTGACTCAGCCAACACAACCTCCCAGTTCCTGGAGCTGGCCAACCAACCTGTGTGACTCCCGTCTCCAGTCCTACAAAGGACACCCAACCACACTGAGTGGACCCTCATGCCTGGACTGCCCCTCACACCATGTGGCTAAACACCCTCCTGGACCCAACATAACCATGTAGACACTGAAACCCCACCCCCCACTGAAGCTCAGAGCCCTACCCTTCAGGAACCCTCGTTACCCTTGCCCTCCCTCACATAGTGGGGCCGAGTATCCAGGCCCCCAAGGCGCTGAGGGTCAGTGCTTCGGACACTCTGGACATTCATCTCCAGTATCAGCTCAAACCGTGGCCACAGCAAGGCAAGCACCTGTTCCCAGTACCTGTGGGCTTAATTAGAATCAGTAATCAGCTGGCCAGGAATATCAAGTCAAGGATGGCAGTGGAGTGGATGGTGGGGGAGGGGTGGTGTTTATGTTAGAGGATATGTGTGGGAAACCCATCGAATTCTGGGACATCCTTCTGGTTAACAGTTGGTGGCTGGTGCTGGTAGGACTGGGTGTGAAAGGTGAGTCAGACCAAGCATGCTGCCTCCTGGCAGGTGAGTGGGAATAGTGTCAATGGTATCAAATCAGTAGGAGCCTAAGGGTCAGGGCAGGGTCATGTAAGACCAAGAATTCAAGGCCAGCAGGGTTTCAAGGACCAAAACTTAGTGACCTGTCCAGGGCGGGAACATCCCTCTTTGCTGCAATATTGCGGAACCGGAGGACAATGTGGATACAGAGAAAAACAGCAATGGCATCATAGCAGTCAGCGAGATAGGACTCCAGGTGCTTCTGCAATTTAGGGATAGGTAGAGGATTGAAAGAGAATGTTATTTTGTCCTTTCTAGTGGATAAAGACAAATGCATTTGCTCCTTTGGGGAATATAGCACTGGGAGGAAGGGTGGGAGGGAGGGGAGAGATATCTAAAAGGGAGATGCCACCTCCTTCTCTGACCACTGACAACTCAGGTGGTCCTGCTGCCTTGCTCACCAGCCTCTATGATCACAAGCCCAGTATGGAATTCAGGGCTGAGCACCAAGGTTTAGGGCCCCTCAGTTTGCAGGTGCTATTGCCTGGGTGTAGATCAGCAGTAAGGGGGAGTCTGGGGGACCCCAAGCTTTGAGGGTTTAGTAGGGAGTCACACCATAAATACAGGGCTTAGACATTTTAGAACAAAGGGTCCTGGTTTCAAAACACCAGAGCTATGATGCTCCTATGGTGTCAATGAGGACTGAGGACAAAGGGACTAGGGTGCTAGAGGACTGAAGAGCACAAGAGCTAGGGATCTTACCAGGGTCATGCTGAGCGTACGGCCCATGACAGCATGAAAGAGGTCATGCGCAGCCGGGCCGGACACAACAAAGAATTCACAGATGAAAAGATATTCCCGGCAGGAATTGTCTAGGAGGGCATAGTGCTGGCTGCGAAAGAGGGCCTCAAACGGATACTAGGATAGGAGAGAAAAAAGAGAGACAGAAGAATGAATCCCAACACTGATTCCCCATAGATATGGCTGGGAAATCAACAAACCAGGGTATACAGAGTTCAGGAGACCCTTCCCATCTAAACCAAGATTAGGTTATTTTGAAACACCATCCTCGCCCTAGCTAGGTGGCTCAGTTGGTTGGAGCACCATACCATACACCAAAAGGTTGAGGATTCAAGTCCCAGTGAGGGCATATACCTAAGTTGCTGGTTCAATCCCCAGTTGGGGCATGTAGGGGAGGCAACTGATTGATGTTTCTCTCACATAAATGTTTCTCTTTCTCTCTCTAAAACCTATAAACATGTCCTTAGAAGAGGATTTTTTAAAAATAAAATCTTGAAAGAAAGAAAAGAAGGAACATAGGGAGAGAAGGAGGGAGGGAGGCAGGAGAGAGAAACAAAGAAAGAAAGAGCATCCAGAATGGGTGGGTTCTTAAGGGGGGAAAGGAGTACAAGAGAACAGCCTACCCCCACCTGCTGTGGCTACCCTTGCAATTACCTGCACACCTGCCTCAGGACACGTCACTTCCCTCAGTCAGTCTCTCCCCCCATATGCCCTCAAGTCCTGAGGGAAACTCTGACCTCCCCACAAACCCCTGGCCCACCCATGTTGGCATCCAGCTCATGATTGAAGCTTATTTTTCCTCTTACCCTCTGTTCTCCCCGCTGGGCAGTGTGGGGTACCAGGATGGGGGCCTCCAGCTCAGTGGGGGAGATGACAGAGCCACGGGTCCCCAGGGTGAAGATGGTATTTCTGCTTCGCAGTGACGGCTTCGAAAAGAATCGTGAAGGGTCAGAGTCAGGGAAAACAGTAAGATCACAGCTGTGATAGATCAGACTCAGTACCTCCAGGGTCTCCAGCAGCTGGACACAGCCTAGATGCCCCTCCTTCCCAGAACTGGGGCCCCACTTCACCTGACATCTGTGAATGGGCTTCAGGAAACCTCTACGCCCCAACATCATATGCAAAACTAAGTACCAAAATGCTTTTTTTTTTCTGAAAAGGACGACCATAGCCTTTATCACATTCTTAAAGGTTTTGGTCCCAAAGAAAAAGGTAAGAAGCAGTGCCTTGGAAGCTAGAGCCAGACACTCCCTTGCTCTCCAGGCCTAGCATGAGGGTTCCTCAGCTGTAGGATATCTTTCTTTGCCGTATCTTCCACTCCCATTAGATCATCCTTCTCAGCAACTTCCTCATACTAGAGAAAAAAGAAAAGAGGTAAATATCTCTTCCCGCAGCACCAAAAAACAATTTTTTCTAACCTTGTCCCTTGGCCCAGCGGTAGTCTTTCCTCCCAGCCCAGGTGCCCAGAAACACCTCTCCCTCCTTGACCTCACCTGCACCTTCATTAGCCGCCCCAGGTAGGAGCGGTAATAAGAGAGGTAGATCTTGCTCAGTGTCTCCACATATTCATCCCGGATCTCCTTTGCTGTTGCTCTTTCATTGCCCAGCAGGAACTGATAGAAGAACCTGGAGGGGCCAGAGACCAGTCAGTCTCCCTACTTGCCCAAGAAACCAGACGCCACACTTGGCTGCACAAAGCTCAGAGGCCATCCTTCCCATGGTGACCTGTACTTCAGCAGGGCCGTCTGGGGGATCTGATAGTTGGTCATTGGTTTCCTGAAGGAATAAATCTTCTGAAGGATGAACTCTCGGATCTTCGTCACTGCCTAGACATGGAGGACCAAAAACAGGGCATGAAGCTGCCACCTGCTTATTGTTTAGGAGCACTGGGGGAAGTGACCATGTTAAATGGAGGAGGAAGTGTGGAGAATACCTCTTTAGTGTCTTTTAAGATTCTCAGGGGAAACTAGAGATGTGAACATGAGTTTGCCAGGGTAAGGTGGGGTAAAGTTCTTGGAGACAGGCTACAATGAGCTCTGCCAGGAAAATCAAGGGTGAAGGTGTTGAAGAGGCTGGTTCTAAGTCTCTGGGGTTTCACCCCACCCCTCACCTTGACCCGGAGTCGGTCGAGCACACCTCTGACATCTGCACAGGCCGCTGTACCTCTAGCTTCCTGCTCTCGGACTGCAGCTGCTTTGGCATCCAGTTCCTGCAGCTGTTCCAGGAATCTGGGCTCTGTCACTGGTGCCTCCAGAATTGCCCTGGGTAGCAGGGAGGGGTGGGATCAGGTAGGAGGGAGACCCAGACATCCCTAGACTCCAAATCATCTCCCTTACATCCAGCTTCTGTCTCCCTTCCCTTCCTATGCCATATCATATGAGGATTTATATACAATTTTCTGTTCCTGGACCTCCTCACTACATACCTGACCCTGCATGATTCCTAATCTTTGATGCCTAACACATGCCATAAGGTTAGAAAGAGTTAGCAACCCAACCATCAGTTTCTGGAAGGCACTTGATAACCTGGAGCCAGGAAACCCATGTGGTAAGCGGGCTTGGTCAGCCCAGCTGATCTACCTGCTATAGACATTGTAACCCCTCAAACTAGTAACTCACGTGACCAGAGCAGAGGGCACTACCAGACCATCAACAAGCTCCCCAAGTTTCCCCCGAACTGCCTGGCGGTTTCGTAGCCGAATGTTCATGGCTCCTGACTGTTCCTGCAGCGTCCGGATCTCAGAGCTGATGGAGCTGAGGTCACTCTGAAAAGCTCCCAACATCTGCTCCATGCGCTGGGGAAAAGGCAGATGTTGTTGGAGCGCCACAGGACAAGTGGCCCACCTAAGTGCATTGGTGAAGTCTCCACTATCTATTAGTCCATGAGGATAGCAGGTGACAAGGAAAGCGGTACCTCAAAGGTCACTGGAAAGTAACATTAGTTATGGCAGTAACAAAAAAGGCTGCTGAGGTCATACTGCAAGTGACTCTAACTGTCCCCACCTGAGACTGATGACCTAAAGAATGATACCAGAGACCGTGATCTGGTTTAAGGTTGTTTTTTGTTTTTAAAGATTTGATTTATTTTTACAGAGAGGGAAAAAAACATCAACATGTGGATGCCTCTTGCACGCCTCCTACTTGGGACCTGGCCTGCAACCCAGGCATGTGCCCTGATTGGGAATTGAACCAGTGACCCTTTGGTTTACAGGCTGACACTCAATCCACTGAGCCACACCAGCCAAGGCTTTTTTTAAATTGGTTGATTTTAGAGAGGGGGAGTAGGGGATAAAAGTCGATTTGTTGTTCCACTTATTTATGCATTCATTGGCTGGCTCTCATATGTGTCCTGGAATTGAACCCGCAACCTTGGTGTATCAGAACTACATTCTAACCAACTAAGCTATCCAGCCAGGACTGGTTCAAAGTTATTTTAGGGGTTACATGTCATGGTTACTAACCTCAAGGACAGCATCACAGGCTGTGATCTGGTTGTGCAGAGAAGCTATGTTCTCACTCTCTTGGATATCTGACCCACAGAAAGTCAAGGGACCTCACTGTAAAGATAGAGATCCTCAGACCTGCAGGACCTCTCTTATTTCTCCCCGAGATGACAGAAACCTCAGAGAAAAGATGCCATCCCCAGCTAGGCTGTCTGCATCATGTTCCACAAAATCCCCGATTGTAATACCACCACCCTTCTCCTCTGCTGGAGGATACAATCCCGAATGGATTTCTGCTCAATCTGCTGTAGCTCCAGCTCTACCTGCTTTGAATAGTGACGGAGATCCACACCCTGGGAGAACATAAACATGACAGGTCAGGAGAAAGTCACAGTAAGGGAACACTGGAACAGTATCAATGAAGGACTAGAGGATAAGACACCAGGATGACATAAGTGCATGAGACGGTTTCCTTTTTTTTTTTTTTCCTTTGTGGGGAGGGTATGTGTTTTGGAGAGGGGGAGCTGGTTAGTATAGTGGAAAGCCTCACCGTTTTAAGAGCTTCCTTTACTAAATCATCCTCCAGATTTGCCTGAATGTGAACTGGAAATAGAAGTTTATTATAAGGGTTAAGTTCCATAGCTCCCTCTCCCCACACTGAACATCTGCACACCAAACCCTGACTTTTACTTCCAGGCTCCATGCCTCTCAAGATTATAGGCACTCTGCACCCACCCCATGGCATCACTTACCATCCACTTCATCCATGATAAATTCATCAGAGGTGATGTCCAACTCTCCAAGTTGCAATGGCTCCTGAAGACGAGGACCATCCCCCTGGGAGGGATAAGTTAACAAGGAAAGATACTCGGAAAGAGGGGAAGAACAAACAATAATGGGATAATCCCTAATCCTTCAAGAGGGAGGAACATTTACTGGGGAGCTATAGGTACTGAGTAAAAATCCCTAGAGTCTCACATTGTACCCAACCTACAACTTAGGGCTAATGGACAAGGAGCCAGGCAACCTACAGAGAGTGGAGGTGTCTGAAGAAGAAAAATTAGGAGTTGCAGAAGACAGAGCAGAATATGCAGTTGAATTTAGGAGCCCCCAGACTCCTGCTAACTTAGGTGTTCTATCGCAATCCCTCTGGAAAGCTCGTTTTTCTGGAAACATCAGTTTACACACAAGTGTTTACTTACATGCAGGTGCCATCTTAAATATACTCATTCATCTACCCAACAACCTATATGATAGGTCTATTTTCTTCACCTTACACGTAAGTGATGGTACAGAGACCTAGCCTAAGGACACACAGCGTGTAAGTAGCAGAACTGAATTAAAACACAGGCAACCTGGCTCCAGAGGCCATGTTCTTAACCTTTACAGGGCACTGCTTCTCTATTCTGCCTCAAAATCAGGGGGTTAATTGAAATTGTGCCCCGGGAACCTAAATCGACCATTCCGGTCCCTGCTCAGGCTCAGGTTCTATCCCGGGGCGGGGGCTATGAAGAGTATCTCTGGTAGCAGCCCGGCTCCCACCCTTATAGCTAAACCCAACCCAGATTTTTCTGACGCGAAGACGACCGAAGGAGATTCTGGAGAAGAAAAAGCCCTGCGTTCTCACCAGCGGGCCCTCCTCTTCCTCCATATCTGAGGCTCCGGTCCTCATCACCAGCTCCGCCGCAGCTACCGCCATTGTGGCAGCAGCCGTCATTCCACGCAGCCTCACTTCCGGCAGCTGTCAGTCACGGCGAGTCCGTTCTCACGAAAGGAACTACAGGTCGAGTGGTTTGCACAGCGTGAAATCGTTCCCAGATACTTGCGTTAAATTGACTCCAGCCTTCCCTTAGAGCTCTAACCACTTCACCCAAGTACAATGAGAAGTGGAAGTCTTAAGCACAACCTCACCCGGAACCTTCGCTGCTCTTATATCCCAAAACTTGATGAACAGTAAAGAACTGCGCCGGAAATTGTGACAGAATAATTCAGATTCTCAGTAGTCCAGTGGACTCCTCCATTTCTGGAAACTCATCACCGAGATCGCCCCGCCTCTTCCGCCTGCTAAGTATATAAGACTATTTCGTAACTTCCGCTCTCTCTTCCACAGGAGGCCTACACGCCGCCGCAGCCATGGTAAGATTCGAGTCTGTTCGGGGATCCGGCGACATCGGAACCGGGGCAGGGAAAGTCTGCTGTCAGGGAGTCGAAAACACCCTGTTTAGGGCCTGCAGCTTTCTGTGTGGAACCTTGGATCGTGCTTCTGGGAAGGAACGACTAAAGACATCCGTTTCTGGGGAATGGGGCCAGAGGAAGAAACATTCCCTGAGCGCTCGAGAGCGGCGAAAGCCTTGGGCGTGCATGGGGACCTCCGGCCTCCGCCACTCAGTGTACTCTTGGAAACAGGCAGGAGATTTGTTCTCTGCCAGAGGCTGCATTTTCCCCAAGCCCGAGCAGTAAATGTGCCTGCTGTCTGCAGAATTAATGAATTTGCTGTATTGTGAATACCTGAAGGGAAATCATCTCTCCCTGTGTGATTCAATTTAACGTTCCTGTTTGAGGTTATGGTGATAGTTCACAGTATCTGCTTTCTCCCCCAATCTTTGTCAGTCTCTAGTGATTCCTGAGAAGTTCCAGCATATTTTGCGAGTACTCAACACCAATATCGATGGGCGACGAAAAATAGCCTTTGCCATCACTGCAATTAAGGTAAAGTAGGGTAAGGTGTGGAGAATGTAAGTGAAACTTCGGTTGTAAAGACAACCTAAGGGAACGACTGAGGCAAGGTTAAGAAAACATAACCCCCAACCAGATCACCTCAGCTGCTGGGTAATCCCCTTAACCACCTACCACAGTTACCCTGAAAAGTAAGTGAGGAAACCTAGAGAACAACCTCAGGTCAAGCCAAAATATTTCACGCAGAGGATGGGGAGTAGGTTTGGCTGAATACCTGAATTTGCTCGAGTTTTCCTGGACCACCAGCCATCATGAGATGATTCTGTGTTTGCTTTCTGCCCCTTCCCTCTGTGCATCATTAACAGCAACCTTTCCTGTGATATTTATATACCCTAAGTTGGATAATTGTGCATCTTCTGGGAGGAGGGGTAGAAATGCCAACAGATTCCAAGTGTGAAGAAAGGTGTAGTTGGGAGGGGTGTCACTACATCACGAGTAGAACATTTGCTCAGATGCCAGAGGTGAAAGTTATTGTCCCTTTCCAGTTGAAGCAGGTACCAGTACTTGGCTTATTACATGAAATAAGTTGGTGAGTGCACGCTTGGGTATCTCCCTTCACCAACCTAATGAACTGGTGGCCTTCCAGAGGGGGGCGGGTACCTTTTTTTTTTTTTTTTTTTTTGAGTATGTGTAGTTAGCTGTGGCAATGGCTGAATGACTAGCTTTTTTGTTGTATGTACACCCTATCATGTCAGGAATAGTTGTGTCTTGCTCACAGTCCCCAGCTTCTGGTGTATGATAGGTGCTCAGGCAGTGTTAGGAAATGCAAGGTATCAGGTATAGAGTTGTTCATTCAAAACTGAATCCAAGCTTCAAATTCCCTTGGTTTTTAATTCTGCACTGCAGGGAGCACAACTTGTATTATTAATTTGTATGTAAGAAGGTTGCTTCCTTCTGGGAAATTAGTGAGGTGGTGTAAAATACAGTAGTACATTTTTCAAGAGTTGTTACGAGACTTAAGTGAGATGGTAAGGGTAAAAGGTGATGGTGATTAATGGGGTGCTTCTGTTAAACTGCTTGTTCTAAATTAGGTGGTTTTATTTATATTAGTTAAATCTGTGTCATAACTTTGTAGTCAACTTAAAACCACTTAACCAAAGTATTTTCAGGTACTGAATGAACATTTTGACAAGTCTTTAGGGATCCTGATGCCCTGCTTATCATTGGGAAAGGTTATTCCTATAGATAAGTATGAGGTTTTTGCTAATTTTGTGAAGAGCAAGTAAAAGCAGCCAGCTCTTCCTCTGGTAAGAACGAAAGCTTGAGGGTAGTCTTTTTTTTTTTTTTTTAAGATTTTATTTATTTTTAGGGAGGGAGAGAGAGAAACATCAATGTGCGGTTGCTGGGGGTTATGGCCTGCAACCCAGGAATGTACCCTGGCTGGGAATCGAACCTGGGACACTTTGGTTCCCAGCCCGCGCTCAATCCACTGAGCTACGCCAGCCAGGGAGGGTAGTCTTTTATTAAGGATCCAAAATGGGGGAAAGGCAGGCTGAGTGTGGGAAGGAGTGCCTTAAAAGATGTGGTTAAAGAAGTGGTAAGGCCCTGGCTGGTGTAGCTCAGTGGATTGAATGTGGGCTGTGAACCAAAGGGTTGATAGCTAGTTGGATTCCCAGTCAGGGTTGCAGGACAGGTCCCTGGTGGGGGCCACATGAGAGGTGACCGACCACACATTGATGTTTTTCTCCCTCCCTTCCCTTTCTAAAAATAAATAAATAAAATCTTTGGGGGGGAAGTGGTGAGCAAGGTTAGTTGGCCAGGGAAGGGGTAGAACATGGGATGGAAGTTGACACAAGCGGAAGAGAGTATTGAGAAGTAACAAAGATCCTGCAAGATTATTCTATGCCCTGATCCCTTCCTGATTGTTGTATTTCCACTTGTACACCTTTGATAGGGATATTCTTTAAAGCTGGCTGGTCTTCTGTTCTTCCTCTAAATCAGGGATAACTGCTATCTGGATTATTTGGGAACACAGAAGGAGGGGGAGACTGGGTTTGGTTACAATAACTGGGAAGTACCCACTGGCCTAGTCTATAAGGAACTCTTCTCTCCTGCCACAATGCCAGTGTCCCTGTGAGTAATATTTACATAAATACTTTCAGAGAGTAATATTAGGTTGGTATCAGTGTTTCTGTTGTGTGGTACAGGCCCTTGGACTACAAAGATAAGTGTCAGTCCCCTGTCGTGTAGTCTTTTGGATGGAGAAAGCAGGGGCTATCCTGGGGCAGAAATGGGGGCATCTGTGGATCTTAGGAAATTGGCAAGCCATTAACTAAACTCAGTTAACAGCTTTCAAAAATCTTAGCTTGATGGCAACTTTTAAAAACTTGATTATGGAAGGTTTCAAACGTTTAAAAGTAAAGGGAAGATGCCCTGACCCTAGTGGCTCTGTTCGTTGGGCATCGTCCCACAAACTGAAAGGTTGCTGGTTTGATCCCTGGTCACCACATTCCTGGGTTGTGTGGGTTCTGTTCCTGGTCAAGATGTGTGTGGAAGGCAACCGATAGGTGTTTCTCTGTCACATCAATGTAAAGTTTAAGAAAGTAAAAATAAAGGGGCCCTAGCCCATGTAGCTCAATTGTCTGATCAGCTCCCACAAAGGAGTTTGCTGATTTGATTCCTGGTTATAGGGTACATGTCTGGTTTGTGGGTTCGGTCCCCAGTCAGGGTGTGTACTGAAGGCAACCAGTTGATGATTCTCTTTCTCCATCTCTTTCTCTTTAAAAAATAAATAAAAATATCTTTTAAAAAGTAAAGGGAAGAAAATTACAACCCCTGTGGATGTATCATCTAGCTAAAACTAGAACTCTTGTTTCATGCATGACCTTTCCTATCCACACATTTTTAAAGTAAAGCTCAAAAATACTATTTCATCTGCATTTAAATTTGAGAAACTTAGACCCTAATCTCTTTTGAATCATCCTGGTCATTTGATTTCTTGGGTCACTTTCTTCCAGAGAGGAAATACCATATCTTCATTTCCTTGGGCTGTTGTAACAAGTTGCCACAGACTTGTTGACCTAAAACAGCTACCAGTTCTAGAGGCCAGACATCCAAAATTAAGGTGTCAGCGGGGCAGTGCTCCCTCCGAAGGCCCTAGGAATCCTATCCTGCCTCTTCCTATCTATCCTCTGGTGGTCACTGGCAATTCTTAATATTCTCTGTCTTGTAGCTGCATCAGTCCAACCTTTTGGCTTTGTTATGGTGTCATGTGGCCTCCCCTTTGTGCCTTAGGGTCCTCCTTTTGTAAGGAGACCATCGTTAGATTTAAGGTTGCCCCTAATCCAATATGACCTCATTCTAACCGTATTTTCAAAGGTTAATTCTGAATAAAGTCACATTCTGAGACTCTGGATGGAAATACATGGCAGGGGAGTGGGGGTGATTTAACCCAACCCACCCTTTACTATCCAAATGTTTGGTTAACTTCTCTGGTGGCAATGAGTACCAGTGTTGGTGTTTATATGATGCCACCAGTGTAAGAAATAGGTGTTAGAGGTTTTTTTTGGGGGGGGGGTGTTTGTTTTTTAAGTTTGATGTGGGCAATAAGTTCCCTAGGGCCTGGTCATCTCTGGGCACTGACAAAATTTAGTTTGTGGTCTTCAAAAACTGATTATGAGGGCCTGGGCCAGATAAGTTTAGTTGGTTAGAGCATCATCCTGATAAGCCATGATTGTGAGTTCTATCTCAGTCAAGGTACATATAAGAATCAACCAGTGAATGCATAAATAAGTAGAACAACAAATTGCTGTCTCTCTCCCTTCCTCACTCCCTGTCTCTAAAATCAATAACTTAAAAAAAAAATTTTTTTTTTAAGTTTGATCATGGGGCTGCAGTGGTTTGTCCAAAGAATTATCTTTAAGAGGTTCCAAGCAACTGACAATCCTACCACTTGATCACCTGTTGACCAAAAGACCCCAGTTTTGCAGCTTTGAAGCTATATCTGCTTTGACAGGCAGGTCCTTTGTCCTCCATGATGCGGAAATCAGAAGATTCTGCTCCTGGGTACTGCTGCAGTCTTGATCGACAAAGTAGATATGCTGAATGAAAAGTTCCTGCTTTCAAGGGGTTATCTACCCTAAGTTCTCTGTTCTTGGTCCAGCCCAGCTCTTTGAATAAAATTAATGTTTAGATTTCTTATCTGGAAAAGTGGGTGAGGTGCGGGTCACCTGGGAAAGTTTAAAGCACTAGTTTGTTGCAGGCCCTACTTTTGTGCTTTTGAATAATGGAGCTATAAAGGGGGGAAAAAAACCCTCAAACCTAATTCCAAAACCTCCTCAGGGTGTGGGGCGAAGATATGCTCATGTGGTGTTGAGGAAAGCAGACATCGACCTCACCAAAAGGGCAGGAGAGCTCACAGAGGATGAGGTGAGGACAAGGAAGGGGGTTGTGGGTTGGGCCTACCTTGGAAGGGTACCGTTCCAGGGTGACCCTTGTCCTGCCTGCCAGGTGGAGCGGGTGATTACCATTATGCAGAACCCTCGCCAGTACAAGATTCCAGACTGGTTCTTGAACAGACAGAAGGATGTGAAGGATGGAAAATACAGCCAGGTGTGTACTGAGATGAGACCTTAAAAAAAAAAGGCAGGGCGTCCAGTTAGAATAGAATTGGTCATAGGGGCTGGGTGGCAAAACAAATATCCCTCAGTCTCTATTCTAAATCCAGGTCCTGGCCAATGGTCTGGACAACAAGCTTCGTGAAGACCTGGAGCGGCTGAAGAAAATTCGGGCCCACAGAGGGCTGCGCCACTTCTGGGGGTGAGTTGGTGGGGTGGCGGAGCGTCTCCTTTCCCTTCCTGCCCCTAGGCTCCCAGAGATTTCTCATGTTCTGTCTTCTCATCCCATATCTTTTCTGTGTAATATGTATGACCTGTGACCCTTCTTTTTTCTCACCTGCAGTCTTCGTGTTCGAGGCCAGCACACCAAGACCACAGGCCGCCGGGGTCGCACTGTGGGTGTGTCCAAGAAGAAATAAATCTCTAGGCCTTGTCTGTTAATAAATAGTTTATGCACCTATAGCTGACTTTGTGTTTTTTCTTCCTTCTGGGGACACTGATAGGGAATGCCAGCTCTCCTGAAGGACCCTGTTGGTTGCTTTCCCAAGTCTCTTGGCTGATGTTCCCACCCAGCTGCCCAAGCAATGTACTTTGGTTAAAGCAATGGTCTCATTCCCTTCCCTCCACCCCTAAGGTATGAGGAAGGTGGAGCAGTTAACACTCAGCCTTAAGGAGGAGCCCAACCAGTTCTTGCTGGGGCTTGGGTGTGGAGTGGTGTGGTGTGGCACGTGTAGGGAGTTTAGCCTAGTCTGGTGAGTGCAGGTCTCTGCCACCCTAGGTTTCTAAAGGGTGTAAGATTGATGTTGGCAAATTGGGGGTGGGGTGCAGATTTCTTGGACATAGAATCGATGGACTCCACACTCAGAGATGCACATAGCAGTTGGGGAGGAAGGCCTCTGTAGCGAGGCACAAAGATCCAATTACATTCCTACCCTGGCAGGCAGTGTTCTGCCAATGCTTCCGGGTGGGATTCTGGGAATGCGCAGTGCCACACCTTCCCCGGGAAGGGGCGGGGCTGCCAGGGTTGGGCGGGGGAAGACACTGATGCTACCCACCATGGAGTCGAGCTTCAGCGTGGCGGGGCTGCGACAAGGTAACTTCCCTACTGCTGCTGTATGCCCCCACGCCGTCTCCTGTGTCTGCCTCTCGGCACCTTCCGGCACTAGTACTCCCCGCACGCTCTGCTGGCCCCAACCTAGGCGTGGCCGGTTAGGAACTCAGGCTGTTGAGAGCTGCGCTCTGCGCCCTCCAGCTGCCCTCCATCTTTTCTCCCAGGTTCCCTCTGATTGCGCCACACCATGCGCCTCAGTCTCTTCCGGCGCCTTCTTCTTGCCGCGCTGCTGCTGGTGATTGTCTGGACCCTCTTCGGTCCTTCAGGCCTCGGGGAGGAGCTGCTGAGCCTCTCGCTAGCTTCCCTGCTCCCAGCACCAGCGTCGCCGGGGCCACCCCTAGCTTTGCCTCGCCTCTTGATCCCTAACGAGGACGCCTGTCACGGCCCTGGCTCCCCTCCTTTCCTGCTCATCCTGGTGTGTACGGCCCCGGAGAATCTGAACCAAAGAAACGCCATTCGGGCCTCGTGGGGTGGGCAGCGCGAGGCCCGAGGGCTCAGGGTGCAGACTCTCTTTCTTCTGGGAGAGCCACGTCCCACCTGGGGCTCCCATGAGAATGACCTGGCACGGGAGTCTGCAGCCCGGGGAGACATCTTACAGGCGGCCTTCCAGGACTCCTACCGCAACCTTACCCTCAAGACCCTCAGCGGGCTGAACTGGGCCTACAAACACTGCCCCATGGCTCGCTACATTCTCAAGACCGATGATGATGTGTTTGTCAATGTCCCGGAACTGGTATCGGAGCTGGTCCAGCGAGGGGGCCGCTGGGAGCAATGGGAGAGGGGCAGAGAGGCTGAGGCTGGAGATGAAGAATGGGAAGGAGACAGCCCCACTTTGGAGAGCCAGCCCGTGCCTCTTTTGTACCTGGGCCGTGTGCACTGGCGGGTGCATCCCTCTCGGAGACCAGGGGGCAAACACCAGCTATCAGAGGAGCAGTGGCCTCCCACCTGGGGCCCCTTTCCACCCTATGCCTCAGGCACAGGGTATGTGCTGTCAGTTTCCGCTGTGCAGCTCATCCTCAAAGTGGCCAGCCGGTCACCTCCTCTACCACTGGAGGATGTCTTTGTAGGGATAAGTGCTCGACGAGGAGGCCTCACCCCAACCCACTGTGTCAGGCTGGCTGGTGCCACCCACTACCCCCTGGACCGGTGCTGCTATGGGAAGTTCCTGCTGACATCCCACAGGTTGGACCCCTGGAAGATGCAGGAAGCTTGGAAGCTGGTAGGCGGCTCTGATGGGGAAAGGACTGCACCCTTCTGCTCCTGGCTCCAGGGAGTCCTGGGCATTCTGCGGTGTCGGGTAATAGCCTGGCTTCACAGCTGAGAGCATCTGGGCCGTGGGAATGAGGATCTGAGTCCAGCCAGGACCCCCACAACCCTTCTCCCAGGCCCAAGGTAACTGGCTACAACTGGACAGTTCCCCTACACCTGATGCTCAGTCTGTCACTGAAGACTGAGGATACAGGGCAAACCTGGGACCTGGCCTGCCAGCCCCAAATATAATCATCTGGAGAATAAAACATCCAAAGCAGGAGAGGGCACAAGCCCCTTAATAAACTTGTCTCTCTACCTCTTCGAGTGCAGTGTGGTCCTCACCAGGAGCCCCAGCACATAAACCTGGAGAGCCTGGAAGATGCTAGGCCTGCTGATGAGAAGCACATCTCCAGAGGCACGGGAGAAAGGGGACAGCCTCTAGGAGAAAGGTCCCTAAAAAGCAAAGCTAAGGCCATAGTGACCATAAGATATGGGGTGAAGGTAGAGGCAGGACACTGTGATCCCTTAGAGCCCCATGCTAGGCAAAGGAAGGGGACAGGTCCACAGAACAATCCGGACACATTATTCAAAAAGCTCACCTTCCTCTTTAATGCCAACCCACCCCACAAACCAGCTGTTCACTCCCACCTGTGGAAGGGGCACCTGTCCCCCTCCTTATTCCAAGAAACAAGGTCATTCCCCCACAGGAGATCTTGGGGAGAGATCATTGTTCTCAGGTCACCCTGGAGCCTGGCTCAGCGCACAAATCTGTCCAGGGCAGATGGCCGGGTCCCCACGAGCTTGGCCACCTTTTCTTTCTTCAGTGACTGCTGCTCAAGGCTTTGCCGGACTTTGTCCTAGGGATGGGGGGACAGGCAAAGTGAGAAGTGGTAGGCCAGCAAGGCCAAAGGCATAAACAAGGAGGGTGCAGCCCATGGGAGGCCTGGCCCACCCCCCAAATGTTCCTTTACCCTGTGTTCCTCCTCCATGACCTTCCTCTTCCTCTTCATCAAATTTGCTGTTGAGCTTCGGCCCTTCTTCTTTGGCTTTGGCTGGAAGGGAGCCTTGGACTCTGGGTCGTAGCCCTGGGGGAGAGGACAGGAGTGAAGTCTGTAACAGCCTCAGAGCCAGGGAACTGTGGCAGCACCCACCTGCTGTGCCACACTTCTGGGGACATGGTCATAGAGGATATGCCTAAGCACTCAGAGCTCTGCTCCTTACCAGCCTCTCTATCCGTTCCTTCTTTTCCTGCTCCAAAGAAATGACATCAACCTCTGCCAGGGCTCGTGGGTCCAAACAAATGAGCTCTGCAGGTACCTGCAGATGTCACAGAGGGACAGGAATGGGTAAGGTGGGTGACTCCAAAGAGGGACTGAAGCCAGGGAGACTGCTAAATCCCACTCTTCCGGAGACCCCCAGAATAGGAGCTTTCCCAACCCCCACTTCCTCACCTTCTCCAGAAGGGCCTTCACTTCCCACTCCTGCCGCTGCTTCCGGCTCCTGTATGGGTTATTCTCCAGGCCATCAAAGTTGGGCTCAGCAGCCCCTGGAGGAAGGGAAGAACATGGAGCCATAAATAGGAACCCAGATCAGCATTCCAGCCTGACCAAGCCCCTTGCTCCTGGCTGGCTCAGGCCCACTCAAACGTCCATCCAGAGTACATTCACTTTAAGCCCCATCCCCTGGCCCACTCACCCGGGACCAGCATGCTGGTGATGCCTCCACTGTGGCCCACCCCCAGCACATCTTCAAAGGGGCAGAACTGAAGGCCGTGCACATGGCCTGAGAGCCGGTGGGTGAGGTAGGGCTTCTCCAGGGAGGGTGGGCTGCCTTTGCCCTGCCCTGCCCATATGTTGACCACATCACCCATTCCTGCAGCGAGCAGTCCCCACTGGGAGAAGGCCAGGTGCCCTGCTCCCTGGGGCAGGGTCCGAGCACTCAGAGGCTGGTATGCCCCTCGCAAGTCAAAGATTTTCAGCTGGTGGTCCAGGCCAGAGGTGGCCATGTGCCTGGTGGAAGAAGGGGATCAATTAATTTAAGGTGTGACTGAGGAGGCCTGTGGCCAAGTCTAGGCATCCAGTCCGACTGTAGGGAGATTGACAGTAACTACGACCATCACACTAGACACTCTGCAGACAGCCTCTTGGTTATGCATCACACAACTCTTGTACTATTTGTATTTTCTTTTCACAGATGGAAAAAACTGAAGCTCCGAGGAAGGAAATCAGGGTGAGGGGTAGAGCTAGAACTCAAGGCAGGGCTGTTCCTGTAGCCCTCTAACCTGCTCAAGATGTAAACCAAAGGGAGAATGCATGTGACAGTGTCTACCTAAATGTGATGTCCTACTACAGATGGGCAGCACTGCAGCTCAGCAAAGGGAAGGATCAAGAAGGATCATCTGCAGTGGTCAGGGAGGACTGCCTGGGGAAACGGGGGTGTAAGCTAATCTCAGTAATTCTCAAGTGAACACAAGAAACAGAGATACAGCAGGTAAAACTGAATGATCGGAGAGTGGAGATGGTGAAACAGGCAAAGGTTTATTTTCAGGATTGGTGGGAAACGCAGCCAGGAGGATCAGGAGGGAACAAGTTGCAGGGGTTCTTTCAAGTGAGACTGAGGTCCCAATGCCCCACCAGTGCCCTCAGCCAATAACAAGCCACAACTGAAGACTGCATAAACCTGAGAAAACCTTGGGAGGTAATGAAATCAAGTGCTAGCCGGCCCTACCCCACCCTGTCTTTCCCTGAAGGAGGGAGGGTAAGGTTGCTGACCAGAGGCTCTCAAGGATCAGGCCCTATATAACTTGTTTATTTTCAGAGGCTGGAGTTTCTATGTTCAAGTTGTTCCTCAGAGAGAGAGGCTGAAAAGGAACCAGCCAGGCCAGATATATGTTTGCCAAAGAGCCAAGAACCCTCTTTTTAGCTGTGGCTGTAAACCCAGGAGGAGGGTACTGAAGAGTTTCTAAGAGCAAAGACGTGCTCTGTGATGGGGCCAAACAGAGGCCCAGCTGGATACTTCTGACAAGACAATCAGGGCCCCAGCTCCACCAAAGGGAAAGACCACTGATGCAAACCAGGAATTACTGAGGGCTCCCCGGACACAGGTTGGCCCCTCACAAACCTTTGGGATCCCCTGCACAAATACCAGCCCACTGGCCAGATGGGCACCCATGCACCACACTACTAAATTTATAACAAATAGTGCAGCTTTGAGAATCTAATCCTAAATGCAAGCTTCCAGAAAGCCTCTTAAGGAAGACAGTAAGCCTCATCTCTGGAGCCCCTGTGGCCTGTCTGAGGTGCTCCTGAGGGGGACCAGAGACAAGCAGGGCTGAACCTAAGATCAAAGACCAGAGCAGTTTAGCATGGAAGTGTTGACCAAACCTCAGTAAACTGGCTGATTACCCCCTGGGAACAGGAGCAACTGACCCAGGCAGCCCCTGGAAGGTAAACTGTAGCTCAGGTCCAGCGGCCCAGAAGCCCCAGGGCTGGCCTCTTCACTCTCCTAGAGCCAAGCAGGCACAGCTCTGGAGTAAAGAGGGGGTAGCCAATCACTTGCCCCCAAAGATACAACTCTAGGAGTCTAAGGGGTCTAAGCCTTGAGAAGGCTTTCATAAATTGGTGGCCGCTAGGCTTTTCCTTTAAAACAACTTAAAAATAAAGTCACGTAGTTTGTATTTAATGTAGAATCCCAAGCAGCAGTGTAAAAGGAGGAAAGCAACTTGTAGGAAAGGTGATTCTGACAAGGCCCTGCAGAACAAGGCAGGAGGTAAAACTGGAGGCTGGAACCCGGCTGTGAGCATCACATATGCCCAGAGGCAGCAAGGAGGAAGAGAAACAGACCTTGGAAGGACCTTTGAGGGAACAGGCAATCAGGACTTCACAGGAGGTCATGAATAGCAGAACCTGGGTAGAACCAGAAAGCACTCAGTCAACACTGCTTTTGATTCCTGACATTCGTTAACAGCTAAGGAATATGGTGGAGCTCTGTGGCAAAGCTAGAGGTGTCAAAGAAGTGAAATTGTGGGTGACAGGAAAATGTGGCAGAAAAGGAGCAAGGAAGAATCCTGGGAGTGGGGTGTCGGATCCAGTGATGCACAACAGATCAAGTGTTTAGGGTGACAAAAGACAAGTGAGTAGAGACTAAATGCCCTCCCAGCCCCGCCCTGACCAATCATTCCTGTAAACTACTGCCACCTGTTTTTGTAAAGAAAGTGGAACTGGAACCAATTCATCCTTACACTCTGGAACCTTAGCACAGAGCCCAGTCCATAGCAGGTGCCCAGTGAAGGCCTGATGAATGGAAGGAATTAGAGGAAAACACACAAGAATTGGTATGAAAAAATTGCCGACCAGATCCAGACATACATACAAATCAGACAGAACAGCTGTGAAAAGCAGATCCTCTCTCAGGAAGAACAGAAGTTCAAAGCAGACCCACCACCCCACCCCTCACATCACCAGCCAGACCTGAAGAAAAAATCTTTAATGATGACGATGATGAAGGACAGTGCTCCCTATTCACTGGGCACCACACCAAACTCTGAGTGCCTTAACTCACTTACCACCTACAACACCTTTACGAGCTAAGCCCAGGTGTTGGCAAACTGTGGCCAAACAAATCTGGCCCACCACCTATTTCTGTAATGTCCACAAGCTAAGAATGGTTTTTACATTTTTAAGTGGTTGGAAAAAAATCAAAAGAATATTTTGAGTGCTTGCTTCGGCAGCACATGTACTGAAAACTGGAAGGATACAGAGATTAGCACAGCCCCTATACAAGGATGACATGCAATTTTGTGAAGCGTTCCATATTTTTTTTAAAACAGAATGTTTCAAGATTTGGAACTTATATGAAATTGTGTACACAAATAAAGTTTTATTGGAATACAACCACATCCATTTACTGCTTTTGTGCTGCACAGTAGAATGGTTGAGGCAGACACTATGTTTGGCATCCGGTCACTTCACACTGATGATAGAGTTGCAGTGACACAGCTATAACCTGACAGCACCCCAAGCACCTCAAAGACCACCCACCTCATTACCTGCCTGTGTCAGAAATGTGTTCAAAGATAAAATATGTAAAACCTCTACAAATTAGCATTAACAGATAAACACCAGCAGTCAAGTGGAACACTAGCTGTTTTTTTCATTGTATTAACAGATTTATTTTATTATTTCCAACTATATTTTGAAATACTAACTTTGAATATCAATCAAGCAAAATATCCTCAAAAAGAATTCAATTCTTCCTATTAGTAGGCATGTATGTGAATACTATTATATTCATTATTATGTTTTGGATTTCAATGCTTAAAAACTTGTGGTACTGTTTTTGATTTTGCCCTTGATTTTGCCTCTTGGCCAGCAAAGCCTAAAATATTTACTGTGTGGCTCTTTACAGAAAGTTTGCTGACCCTTGGGCTAGACACTCACACATCATCTCAGGTTAAGACAAGTGTGGCACACGGGTTATATAATGTGCCCACACTCAGCTGGCTTATCAGTGGTGGCACCAGGATTTAAACCCAGGCAGCATGACTACAGGATCTGTGCTCCTTTTTGCCCAGCTGTGACCTCCAGCACCTCGTGCCCAAACAACTGACTTACATGCCTGTAGAATCTACTGCCACAGCCCGGACCCCACCACGGTGACAGAGAATCTTTGCCAATGGCTCCTTCATGGCTGGACTCCATAAAGACACAGTACCTGGAGGTCAGAGAAGAGCTAAAGTTACTAACAAGCACTAAAGTTATTCAACTAAGGAAAGATAGGGACTCAGGGCCAAGAGGGGCCAAGAGAGAAAGGTGAAAGGGCAACTTTAAGGGACTCATGAAGTACAAACATAGAAGAAAGGCAGGTTAGGATAGTTAGAGTTGAAGATCAGCCAGGGACGAACCATTGCTATGTCCCAGATGGATGACGGCATTGTAAGGGTTCTGGGTCATGACATCGAGCCGCCCAGCCCGAGCATTCAGAGCTGCCACAATCTTCCCCACTGACACGTCCAGGTAGGTCAGAAACCCTGTCTCTGACTGTGAGAGAGAAAATACATCCTGAGTGCCCTGGTCTCCCTTTACTGGGGTCCCAGAAGAGTGGTCTTTTCAGGGACTGCCACCCAGTCTCTGTGCTCCAAGGCCACTCACACACGTGGCCAGTAGGAAGTGGAAAGGCAGGAATTCAAGCCGTGTGACACGGTCACAGCGACGGATGCAGTGGAGTTCAATTCCCTGGTTGTCATAGATGTGAAGCCAGCGGTTCTGAGCGACAGCAAGCAGCGCCTCTGAATGCAGAAACCTGGGAGGGGAGGAGAAGAGGAGTGGCTCAATGGGTAAGGGGGTCACAACCATCATTCAATGAGGAATGGGCTATCTCACTACCACTGACCACTGACAGAGAAGCCACTGACCGGATGTCCCGTACTGCCTCCATGACATTGATCTCACACATGAGCCTCTTTGTCACCCAGTCAAGGGCAGCCACATGACCCCGGCGCCCTCCAAAAGCCAAGTGCCTGTTGGAGGTGGGGAACAAGTAGAGTGTCAATGCAGGGGAGCACCCTCAGACCATTTGAGGTCTGCCAAAGCCAGCTCCTTCTCTCCTGAGAGGTGTCACTGTATATGCTCACCCCCACATGTAAGCAAATCACAGGACACTCCCTATATCAATGACCCAAACACACACTGGCATGGCTGAAGTGGTTAAGGAGACATGACCACATCCTAGTTCAAGTATCACTGGAATTCAACTTTACCTCCCAGTCTGAGAGTAATTCAGCCTGTAGGGTCCAAACTGCCACAAGTTCAAGTCAAAGTGCTGGGAAAGGAAAGAGTTTAAAAAAGAATTCAAGAATAACAATAATTGGCTCACATCAGTAATTCCCTCTTCTAGTCTCCACTTCCTTTTTGCTTGGCCTCTTTCCCATCCTCAAGCTCACCTTGGCTGCACTTGCAATGTCCACAGCCTCCACAATGTCAGCTTGGCTTATCTTTGCTGTGTCTTCCCCATCCTCACCTTCCAAAAACCTGCAAGTGAGTGTTGGAGCTGCAGTAAAGTTTCCTAGTATGAAGTGAGTGTATCAACAACAAAATGAGACAGAGCAGTCCTATAAATATAGCAGAGGCTGGGAAAGCCACTCACCCAGGTTCCTCAGCAAGCAGCAGCTCAGAACGAGCAGCTTTAACACTTATTTCCTCTTCCTCAGCTTCAGCCACCTCAAGCCGGCTTCGGGTTTTGGACTTAGAATGTGGCAGCTATAACATCGATGATGGGAAGGAGTGGAAAAAGAACCAGAGGCTGTGTGGGGCCACAGGACAGCCACCTGGTCCCACCTCCATCTAGACCATCCAGACACTCCCTGCTTGCAACACCACTCTCAGGCTGGTCCTCACCTTTTTGGATCTGTCAATACGACGGAACTTCTGAGCCACCTCCACCGGGACCGGGGCGGGGCCTGGGAATGGGTCCTGGGCCTAGGGCAGGGAGTAAGCAATTCGCTAACAGGCTCAGGTTGACTCCAACCTTCGCACCCTCAAAGCACTAGGGAACTTGCCCCGCCACCCTATCAGATCCCATGCTTACCCCGGACAAGCTCTGCTGAGGCTTCGGTTTCGTCCGTTCTCGGGATTTATTCAGGAACTGGGGCTTCTTGGAGATGCGAGACCTCTTTAGGGTGTGAGTGTTCTTTGGCTTCTGGGGGAAGAGCTCTGGATTCCTCTTGTTACGAGGGGCCCCTGGAGAGGCTCCAGCAGCGGTCGGAGTGATTTCTTCCTCCCAGTAACGCCGGGGTTTCTATGGCAGATAAGGTGCCCTGAAGCTCCGCCATCCGTGCCCGCCCCTCCGACCCCACAGCTGAAAACTTCCCTTCCACCCTAGGAAGATCTCTACCTTCTTCTTGGTCTGAAGTTTGTCTTTCTTGGGAGGGACATCCTTGCCCGGCTTGGGGGCAATCTCCATCTAACGAACCCTGAGACGATGCACGTGCAAACTCCTCTCAGCGTACACAGTCCGACTGGGACCTCCCGGAAGTGCTCCAGCCCTCACCCAACCAGCGCTGTACCACGTGTGACGCTTTTAGTCGCCATTTTGAATGAGACCACGCTCGACCTTGGCTCCGCCCTCCTGAGTGGTAGCTTCTGTACGAATAACAAATAAAGCCAAGTCCGGAACTAGGCCCCAAGAAACGGTATATTTTCTTTTTCCATCTTCGTTTCCCCCTCTTGCCTAAAACCTTCAAAGTGTTGTTTGTTTGCTTTTTATGCAGAACACGCGTATTAAACGCTTCTGAACTACAATTCCCGGCATGCATTAGAGGGTAGTTTTCTGCACAGTCTTTTCCCACCATTCTTTGTTTATTTCCGGGTTTATGAGTACTGAAGAGAGAACGTGAGTAGGGCAAGGTTTTGGTTGAGAGGCTTGGGGTTATGATTCAACTGCCAACCTCTACGGCCTAGGTCGTGTCGACATCCTGACCGGGAGAAGCTAGGGGTAGCCCGAGAGGCTGCCTCTCTCGAGTGCTGTCATTTCCGCAGGCCAGACCATTAGGGAGCTCGGGTACCTTCCAGAACGTTAGACCCAGCGCCCCTTTCCCGCTCCCGCAGACTGTCGTCTCCACCATGGCCGAGCTGATCCAGAAGAAGCTACAGGGAGAAGTGGAGAAATATCAACAGCTACAGAAAGGTAAGGCAGCAGGGTGGGTGTAGCCTCTCCCCAATCCCTTATCTCACTGCAAACGCAAAGCCATACTGAAATCATTTTCTTCCCTGCTCCCTGACCCGACCCCCCATCCTCGTCTACTTCCTCAGCTCCATTTTTTCCTAAGGTTGTGGGGGTCGGGTGCCACATTTGATGTCTCTAATCAAGTCTTTCCTCTCACCCACACTCTCTTACCCCCAGACTTGAGTAAATCTATGTCAGGGCGGCAGAAGCTTGAAGCACAACTAACAGAAAATAATATCGTCAAGGAGGTGAGACTGGGATTTGTGGGGCCATAGGGGCCTGTACTGGCAAGGATTCTGATCATATGTGTTCCACCCCATCATCAGGAACTGGCCCTGCTGGATGGGTCCAACGTGGTCTTTAAACTTCTGGGTCCTGTGCTGGTCAAACAGGACCTGGGGGAGGCTCGGGCCACAGTGGGGAAGAGACTGGACTATATCACAGCTGAAATGTGAGTCTTTGTCCCACCACCCTGTGATACACTTCACACCACCAAAGTAGCAGTGTTAAGAAACCATTGTAGAGTATCTCTCCAGAGTACCAGGGTCATCCACTTCTCCATTCCCTTTACCATTAATCTCTCCCCTTCCCTCCCTTACATCTCAAGTTGTCCACTGATCTTTTGTTTTTATTGTCCCCCAATCTTTTTCTTGCTTTCAACATCCTCAGTGAGTCTCATTAATTTCTTATTGTTTTTTTGCCTCTCCTCTCAGTAAGAGATACGAATCCCAGCTCCGGGAACTTGAACAGCAGTCAGAGCAACAGAGGGAGACCCTTGCTCAGCTGCAGCAGGAGTTCCAGCGGGCCCAGGCGGCAAAGGCAGGGGCTCCTGGAAAAGCCTAACCCCATGGTTGAGGGGATGGAGGGAAACCAGGCAGCTCTAGGATCTAGACTGTAGCTAATAAAATATGGAAATACCTGGCTGTTTTCTGACCAGCCACTTCTGTCATAATTGTCTCCATCCTTTCCCCTGGCCCCTGACCACTTGTTACCTCAGGTTCAAATTCTTGCAACAGAAATCTGACACAGCAATCCATCCTTTCTTGAGACTAAAATCTGAAACATCTCAAACCTGTTTCTTATCTGTATATAAAATGCAAACTCTCCCTGATCTTGGTTGGCATTCCCCTTTAGGAAATATCAGGTCATTTACAATTCAATAATTGCTGGGAAGATCTGTTAAAGAACTCAGTTCTCTGACTTGAGACCCCAGGATGAAAGGTGGTGACCGTCTATGCTATGTCTTGTTACCTCCGAATGGCCCTGGCATCTTAGTTCTTTCTCTCTCTCTTCCTAGAATTGGTATGAATGTAGCTTGGACTGATGTGAAATCCCAACACATGCTTTGTGATGTAAGTCCTCCAAGTTTGTACATTGTCCACAAAGTTCTTCCATTTCTTTGTCCTAAAATTGTTCTTTACAAATTTGTAGCCAGGGGGGTTCTTTGTACTGATCACTTTATTTGGGTGGCTAGTACTTGACATGGGTCTGTGACAACTAACGAGAAAAATTTTAAAGTAAATAAAGGAACCAGGGAGGGAGGTTGGTAGGAAGGAGTAAACCATTCTGAGGAACCTGACTGATGGGGCACAGTGGGTTGGGTATCCTCCCACACTTGATTCACAGGGCACAAGCCAGGGCCCCAGTTGGGGGTGTGAGGGAGACTATCTGTGTTTCTCTCACACATGGATATTTCTTCCCCTCTCTCTGAAAATGAAATCTTTTTTTTTTTAATTCTGAGAAAAGCATTTTTTCAGCAACACCTCACTTTCAGTTCTTCATGGGGATAGAAAATAATGCATCTGTGTTCCATGGCATCTAAGTTTCAGACAGCCCCCACTCCCACTCCGAGTAGCTAGTCCACACACACTGCGAGAGCAGGAGTAGATCCAGGTAGTGTTTGGTTTATTTTAGTGTCACAGTGACAGGAACCCCCAGAATAGGAAAACAAATTCCTACTAGAACCTACTTCTTGCCATCCTCTCCCTGGAGCTCAGAGCCTCTAGGTATTTCTTCTCCCCATACTGTGGCCTTTTCCTTGGCCCTTGGCATGCTAGGACGTGGCCAGGAATCAGACCCCTTTTTCTAGCACTTAGCCGTGTGCTGCATTCCCGGAATGTGAGGAGCTATATATGGATATCCAACTTGGTTACCAAGATTACCAGTTCCCACAGGGCAGGCTCTCTTGACTGATGAACAGTGGCACTTCACTGCCCCAGGATGGTTGGCCACCTTTCTGGGTTTCTTCCCAATGCAACGTAACTGCTACTATTCAGCATGGCTACCCACATCTGATATGATCACTGAGAGTTATGTGAGCCAAGAGAGCTTCCTCTTTAGAACAGTGCCCGGGCAATCTTCCTCCCTGTAGCCTTGATCCTAGGAAAGGAACCTCCTCCTCCCTCGCTAGGGGGAGTTCCTGAGGCAGAGGGGCCACTGGTGTGGCCTGGTGTAGCAGTAGAGGGCCTTCGCCGCTGCCGCAGAAGGAAATCATGTGAGGCTCTGTCCATAGCGTAGAAGACATTGGCCGAGGGTGGAATGGTCAGCTCTGTAGGTTCAGAGATGGGGTGTCAAGCACAAATAAAGTCATTCCCCCCGCGACCACCTAGGTGTAGAAGCATTCCCACTGGTGGGCACCGCTGTCCCCCGCCAGTCTGCCTCTGACCTCGCTCCCCTGGTAGCAGCTGCACTAGCTCATACTCTGAAGCCGCTGCGGAATCACGATTGTTTTTCTTAAGGACACGACTGATGACACTTGGAGCCTTGTCCTGGCTTGTTACCTGGCAGGACAGGAGACCAAAAGAGCAATAAATTGGCCAGAATGACCTCTGCTTCCCATCCTTCCAACCCCATACACAGATCTCCAACCAAAAAAGGTTGCCCGTGTCCAATACTTGAGAGTGAACAGGGAAACCCTATGTGGTGGCTCCCTGTCCACAGGCCAGCCCACACGGTACCCAGTGAGATAGGGCTGCATCCCTGTGGGGAAAACAGCTCTTTGTTCTGAACACCTAATATGGCCACCAAAAGTTCAAGGTGCAACAGCTAATAATAAAATCTGGCCACTAAAACCAAAGGTCAAAATTAAAATTAGTCTCATCTATAGCCCCACAAGTCAACATCCTTTACCCCACCTCACAGCCCATGGCTCCCTCACCAAGATGCTCTTGTAGACACTGCCATCTTCCCCCAGCTCCATCTGGACTCTGATGATTCGACAATCGGAAGCCCCTGGCCCAGACCCCCCTCCCTCAGATGCAGTCCCCCTGGAGGCCCCTTCTGCACCCCCACTAAGTGGGGAACCACAGGAGGCTGAGCGGCGGTGACCTCGAGAAGGCCTAGGGGAGGATGCAGGTGGGGAGAGGTGGCTGGGGCCAGCTGGACCAGGCAGGGATGGAGTGCCCTCCAAGGCGGAGTCCAGAGATGATACAGATGGCCACTTCATGTGCTGGGGACAAGCAACATGGGGTACTGGTGTGAAGGCAGGGAGGTCAAGAAACAAATATTCAGAGTCAGGGACAGTGCTGAGATCAGAGGTCAGGAGCACAGGTTACCTGGGCCAGCCGGGTCAACAGAGGAGCAGGAGTTCCAGGAACCTCATCTCCCCCAACACTGGGCCGGTCCCAGGAGACAAGGTGGGTGGGACCCCCAACAGAGCCCAGAACCCTGGAGTGGCAGGAGATTGGGAGGGTCAGAGGAAGAAGGCAAGTCCCCAAGAGACTACCCCCCAACCGCTGGCTCCCTCACTCTGTCCACTGTGAGATGACCAGTGTTGGCCGAAGCACTCGAGGGGCGGGAGGGTCACTGGTACCAGGTGGCTCCACCTCACAGGATACTCGATGGCTGGGGAGAAGGGCAATGGCAGAGGTCAAGGTGTGACACACCAATCATCACACTCTGCCCAAGCCCTGAAGTCCCAACCTCACCCAGCCAGTCACCTCTGGGCTTCTGTCAGTGGCCGGAGCCTCTGTAACCACTGCTGGATGTCAGGGTCGGGTCGGAGATCATAGCCACGACATTCGTTCTGGAGCCGCCGCAGCTCAGAGAGGACAGCAAACTCCTAGGAAGGGACTTTCAGACTATGGGAGCCAAACTTAAGAACCCTGACTTTTCCTCTCCACCTTCTCTTTCCTGGAACATAGTTAGGGATATCTAGCACCCAGCCCAGAGTGCTCCCCTCACCTTCCTCCGCTTCTCAAAATTGATGTATCCATTCTGCAAGGATAAAGGGGTGGGGTGAGAGTCCTAACCCTGTCAGAGAGAGAGACTATGCCCCCTCCCAAACACAGGCATTTCCCCATCCAACCACACATTTCCCCCGCCTCTGACTCCTCCACCCCCTCCCTCTGCCCATCTATCATTCCCTAAGCAGCCTACCGTACCCTCTAAACTGAATATCTCAGGTAGAAATTGTGTTTACAGAAGAGAAAAATTAGGGCTCAAAGAGGATTAGGAACTTTCCTTAAGTCCCAGTGTTCATTTATTTAACAAACTCTATATATGCTTAAATTTCAGATATGTTCTAATAAGCACTCACCAAAAATTAATTTAACTTTCATACGGATTGATGTAGACACCATCACTAGTTTCCCATTTACAGATCACTAAGGCACAGGGAGGTTAAGCAACTTGCCAAACCAATAGAACCAGAACCCTGGCACTCTGGCTTGAGTCCTGCTGAGACCTTGGTGCTCACACCTGCAGCCCCTTCCTGCAAGGTCTGCCCGTCCCTGAGGTCACTTGTTCCATCATCTTTATGAACACACACACAGCACTGACCTTCAGCTCATCTTTGGATGCTGCATCCAGCATCACCAGATCCTTCAAGAAGGTACCAAGATATGGGACCACACCCTGAAGTCAGAGATCAAAGTCAGATACCCCTGCTGCTGACCTGAGGGCTCTCCAGCCTTGCACCTTCCCATCCCACTGCCTTAGAAGACAAAGTGAATTGCCCTCACCTCGATGTGCCTCCCTTTCCTGTCCCTCAGACTGTTCCCACCACACACTCCTTATTCCTTCACAACCAACCCCCCACCAGGTACTCACCCCACCCCGGGAGCCAGACCTTGGGGCCTTCTTGGAGTTTGGCTCCAGAGAGGGCTGTGCCTTCACTTCCTGGGGGTGACAGAACAAGAAGACATGGGGGCGGGAGGGTGGGCAGGGATGGGTAGGAATGCCAGGGAACAGGGCCTCACCTGAAGGAGCAGCTCCCGGCTCTGGGAATAATTATCCTCCTCAGAGAAAATCTGACAGAGGCTGGAGAAGACCCTGAGGCTGTCCCTGGGGGGTAGAGGGCAGCAGGTCTGAGGATGGGCCTAGCTCAGCACCGCTCTCCCAGTCCTCACCTCAACCCAGTGCCCCATCCTCCCCACCTGGCTGCTTCCCCCCAGGCTGCCCGAAGCCTGTGGATGGGGCTGGACTGCAGGGCCGACACCACAGCATAAACCGAAGAGAAGTTTCGGAGTAGTCGGCACTCCTGTGGGGGTCACAGAGGAAGGCCACAGCTGTGGGACCTTTCTCTACACCATGGTGCCCAAACAGGGCCAATCCTCTCTCTCACCTCTGCCACTCGGATCCACTTCTCCAGAAGCCGGGCCCTCTGGGGTGGACGGAGTGGCCGTATGGTCACCTCCCCAGGCTCTTCTCCAGTTGAGGTGGCCCCCAGGACAGAGCTGACCACTGCCCCTGCCACCTTGTTGAACTGTGCAACAGTAGCTCGCACAGATGCGCAGAGGTGGGAATGTCCTGGCCGGTCTCTGTGACCCCACAGGCCCCCCAGGCACTGAGAGGGAACCAGATTGAGAAACAGCTCCTGTGGAGCAGAGGTCAGAGGTTATTAAAGTTCATAGTCAAGAGAGTCAGCCTTCCAAATATTAGAAGTATGAGTATCTCAGGTGGCAAAGGAACCAGAGGGGCACAGAATTTGAAGGGTAACAACCAAAGGGAAACAGGAAAAGGTCAAAACTGGGTGGACAGAGGAGGTTGGGACAGAGGAGGAGGGTTGGAAGCAAGGAAAGGACCTGGAGTCAGGGGAAGGTTAGTAAGAGGACAGGGGACATGGAGGTCACAGGTCAGGGTCTCACCGCATCTAGCAGGGTCAGCTGTTCGGCCAAGTGGTCAGCGAGGAACACCAGGACATCCGTGGGGTCAGCAGGGGGATCGCCGGGGAGGGCCAGGGGCTTAGGAAGCTCAGGGGTCTGGGGGTCCACCCGGGACCGGAGGTTGCAGATGAAGTCAGTGCTGCCCCCCACAACACCCTCCCCTGCTGCATACCCTGTCCGGAGCAAGAAGCTCTCAAGCCGGTCAAGCTGACCCTTGACCTCAGAGCCAAAATCCTCAGGGTGAGAGGCCAGCCAGGTTGACAGCACAGAGATGGCTACCCTGGGAGGAGGATCAGCCAAGGGTCAGAGGTCAAGCTACAAGTTGGGCAGAGGGGACTCTGAGGTTAAGAATCAGGGGTCACTCACCCTTTTGTCCTCTCTAGTTCTTCAGTAGGATGAGATTCGAGGGTTTCCAGCCTGGGGACGGAATGTGATCCTGTCCATTACTGCCAAACCCCCAGTGGCTTTAACTACTTTTATACAATATTGTGGCTCTAGAAAGTCCAGATACCTCTATGACCTGTGGTCCCTTACAATCCTGACCTGTCAACCATAAGCCCTAGCAGAGCAGGTGTGGAGGTGAAGGCGCGGTGGGTGGCCAGGAAGGTTGCTGTAAAGGTCACATCAGCCTCTGATGTCCGGACATCCAGCAGGTGTCTGACTAGAGCCTCCAGAGTCCCAGCCCGAAGCCTTCGGAACAAACGTGGGGGAGGTGTCGGGGCCTGGGGGGAGACAGAGGGCCAGTCACTGCCCTTTTCTTCAACTCTGCCCCTAGATCTCTGGGGAAAACCCCAGACTTCAGAAATAATCCAGGATCATTGTATTAATATTCAGAGAGGGCAAAAGACTTGACCAAAGTCACACAGCAGAGTCTGGGTTCCCAGACCTCCACCCTAGCACTCTGGCCAGAAAGTTGGCCATTCTGCAGGTGATGGGTCAAGGCTGAGAAGCCAAAGTTATGATCTCACCAAGGGATCAAGAGGCTGGTACTGGCGGCTTGTGACAGTAAAGGTGGCACCATCCTCCTCCTCATCCCAGACAGACAGAGGGGCCTGCAGGAGTAAGGAAGGGAAGGTCGGACAGGCCCACACCACCTCCCACTGCCCCAGCCCTCACCCCCAGGTCCTCTGTACCCCTAACCTGTGGCGGCAGGGGGCAGTACCAGCGAGTGCGAGGGGTCCGAGGGGTCCGGGGGGCTGGTGAGCCCAGGTCTCCCCCACTGGGGCCCAGACAGCCCAACCCAAGACGCCTCAGAGTCTGATGGAGTCGAGGGGGTTGCAGTGAGGGGGGGGGCGGGGTAGAATGCAGGAACCCTGATCCCGGAGACCACCGTAGCTCCTTCCCCCTAGAGCTGAACCCTAACCCAGGAGAGAGGCAAAGTGCAAAGAGTAGGAGAGGGAACGGAGAGCGACAGAAAACCAGAGGCAGAGACCTTGAGAAGCTGAAACCTCAGTCACAGGCACAGCCGCATGCCCCGCCCTTCCCCAAGGAACTGGCCAAGCCCCAAGAGTTAACCTTTCTCCCTTAGCCCTCTTTCCCCTGAACCCTGGAGCAACCCCCCCCCCCCCCCTGCAAGGTGGCGGCTCCTATCCCAGTACAGAAAGGAGAAGGGGAAGTGGGGATGGTGGGGGGCGGGGGGTGTGGTAGACTCTTGAGAGTCACGTGGCCCCAGGCCCTCCCCCAACCGATCCCGAAAAACTAGTCCTGCCAGTCACCCTGCCCTCACCCAGTCTCTGGACCTCGGGGTCCCAAATCCAACCCCTGGTCCCTCCTGAAGCCCCAAATTCTGCTCCTGGCTACCACTACTAGTCCCAGAGGAAAGCAAGCGACCACCCAGCTCAGCCTGGGATGGTCCCTCCAAGATCCAAGAACCTTGGCTTCCCGCCTCCACCCAGAGCCAGGAGGGAGGGCGGGAGGGGTCAAGAAATCGAAGGGTTCCCTCCCCAATCCCAGACTCAGAAGAACCGGTTACTGTGGAAACAAACCCCTCCCCGCCAAACAAAAACAAGGAGGGAGACAGGGACCAAGACACAGCGGCCAGAGAGGCAGGCACACTGTATGTAGCACAGGCGTAGACGGCCGGAGACCCGCAGGACAACCAGCCAGACGCTCCTGGCAGTAACAGCGCGGTGAGGCCCTCAGTCACACTGCCACAGAGAACCACAGAAATTCAGGGACTCCCAGCAGGTGGGGGACAGCCAGACACCAGCATGAGGAGCGGAAATAAATGATGCAGGGAGGAAGAAATTCAGGGACACAGACACGGAAAGGTGGAGGGAGTCTCAGAAATATAACCCCCAACCTCCCATCACCCGCATCTCACCTCGCCTTCTCCCTCCTCCTCCTCTTCCTCCTGCCCCTCGCCCACGCTCGGGCCGCTTGGGCCCCCACCCTCTTCGGGGTCTCGGCTCCTGAAGCTGCTCAGCACCACTCCCCCGGGGGGGCTCGTGTCCCAAAGCAGCCGCAGGGGCCGCGGGAGCATGGCCGGGTAGTCAGCGGGATTGGGCCATTGGGCGCCTGGGGAGAGACTGGAGGGAGACCGATGGAGTCTGGTGGGTGCTGGGGAGCGGGGAAAGAGGCGGGTGGGTGTCTAGGTGACCCGATGGGCGTCCTTCTGGGAGGCTAGGGATGGGGCAACACAGGGGTGCAATATGGGAGGGCCCTGGTGCATTTGGGGGTTGAGGGAGTCATGAATACGGGAACAGGCAGGGTCACAAGGTGCTCTGGCTCTGACCTGCTCGGGAGGGGTGGGGGCAGCGCCGGTCCCGGGCCGCTGTCTCCGTCCGTCTCCGGCCCCCAGCCGAGTCCCCTCCCCGGCTTTTCGCACTCCCCTGTACTCCCCCCGCCAGGCTCCCGGCCCTCCCGCCCTTTCCGCTACCCCCTACGTCCGTCCGCTCTGAGTGCAGGAGCCAAAAAGGGAAGGAAGTGAGGACAGGAGTCAGGGCCGCGGACTAGAGGAGCGCTGGACGTCCAGAGGCCAGGACCCAGGAGCCCGGGTCCCCAGCTCTGCTGTCCTGCGCACCCCCTTCCCTCGCCCAGCCCCACCTCGGGCTCTGGGATCCTAGAACCCGTGTCACCCTCAATTGGATGGGTATATAGTTTAGTCTCCAGTCCTGGGGTAGAGCCGGAGCAGAATTTGACATTCCCCTCCTCTGATTAGATTAAAACTCCCGCGGGACGCGTTTTAAGCGAGTGAGACCCAGTTACTCCACCCCACGGGGTTATACTGCCCACCCACGCGTGTCTTGGGCCTAATCTACTCCGGGTCTTCCGGAGAGCCCTCGGAGCCCGCCCTCCCGCCAGGGGGCGGACCAGGAAGCCACTATATCCGGTTCCAGAACAGGCGCTCCAGCGCTTCCCGCCCTGGATCTCCGCTTTCGGTAAAGCCTGCTGCTTGGGCGCGCCCGGTCCGCCAATCATGGCGCCAGACCGCAGAGTGTTTCGCCAGCGGGTTGGGTGTCTACGGGAGGTCGGGGTAATTGTAAAACATCAGAAGTAATTGGAAGTCACTCGTTTGGAAGCATCAAAACATAACTTTATTTCACCCGATTAGACCCCCTCCCTCACAGGTCTGGCCCACCACCCTGCCCCTCGGAGGTCCTCCAGTCGAGCCGCAGCATCCTTCGTCCAGTAGTTATTTCACCCAAGACCTGCTTTTGAATACTTAGCACGAAAAGGAAAATACTACAGTATCTTATACCGAGCGCCTTCCGTGGACGCCAGACCCAGGTCCAGCGTCCAGGATACCGCAGTGAGCAGATTTGTTCCTGCCTTCCAAGAGCAGAAAGTCCAGGAGAGACAGGCTTTAACAACGACTTAAATACAAAGGTGGTGAACCACACAAATGGGACACGCGGGGGTCTGAGGGGAAGACGAGGCTGGCCTGGTCTAGAGACCACCAGGGAGAGGGAGCAAAGCTCTTGGGCCCAGGGAGGGTGGGTAGGAGGCCATTGGAGGGAAGGAATAGCCCTTCCGGTGTGCTGAGCCTAGAGAGAAGGACTGGAGGGTACCTGGTGGGGTTGAAGAGGTTAGCAGTGGCTCCAGCGGAAAATGCATATGCCAAGGGCAAGAAGAATGGATTTGGCCTCTAAAGCACATTCTCCAAGTGTGGGCCTTGGCTCAGAGGTCCCTGAGACTACTTCACAAAGTATACGAAGTTAGAACGATTTTCATAATAATACTAAGATGTTAATTGCCTTTCTCACTCTCATCTCAAAAGCGTACTGTGGAGTTTTCCAGAAGCTACATGATGTATATTTACATACATTCCCCTTCACAGTATGATAAATGTCTCTAATTTATAACCCAAATAAGCAAAAGCTCTTTAGAGTCCTTGATAATTTTTAAGAACTCCTGAGACCAAAAATTTTGAGAACCACTGCCCTAGAACTCTAAGAAGGTGAATGCCATTGATTTGTGTCTGTAAAAACAACAACAAAACAAAACATTCTGGCGGCTCAGTGGAGAAAGATTGGGAGGAGTGGGAGCAGGTGATGGCATATTTGGGGGGGAAGGAACTACCACAGTAGCTCAGGCCAGAGATGATGGTGGCTTGCCCAGGATGGTGGTGAGTGCTGTCACTGTGCTTTCTGGAAAAGAAGTAAAAACGAGGTGAGGAATTAGGGTTTTAGAAATTAGGACTAAGTGCTCATGGTTGATCCAGAGATAAAGAAACCATCATGGGCACAGATGGTGGGAGAATAATGAAGCTAACATTTTCTGTTCTCTGCCTGGCAGACACTGTGCCAAAAGTTTATGCTCCTGCATCTTCCAAAGGAGATGCACTATCTCCTTTAACCCTCCCAAAAGCCCTCTGAAGGCTCCGCTGACCAATGCAGTAGCCACTACCCACATTTGTCTATTGAGCATTTGAAAGTGGCTAGTCAGAATTGATATGTGCTGAGTTTAAAATAAACACCTGTTGCCCTGGCCACGTGACTCAGTTGATTAGAGCGTTCTCCTGTGCTCCTGAAGGTTGTGGGTTTGATTCCAGTCAGGGCACGTGTGGGAAGCAACCAGTAGATGTTTCTCTCTCCCTCTCTCTTTCAAAATCAATGAACATTTCCTTCAGTGAGGATTTAAAAAAAACACATTTTTGAAGACTTAGAACAAAAATAAATACTAAAATTTCTTATACTGATTATATGTTGAAAAAGTACATTATTAAAATTAATTTCACCTGTTTCTTTTTAACTTTCTGGACAAAAAAGAAGCCCTGTGAAAAGTAGCCTCCCAGGGTGATCTAATCATGAATTTCTAAGTGGGCAGGTCGTGGTGGATAATCACACCCCCCACACATAACTTCTTTAGTAAAAGGCTTATCTTTTTGCCTTAAGCAAGCCCTGTCCATTGTTTTCCTGCATCTAGGTTAGTAAACTTTGAAATAATAACCGCCTTCTAGAGAGCAAGCACATAATCTTGTTAACTATGTTGTAATCCAATCCCCACCTTACTTCCTCCTACTTTTGTGTACTTATATATTCCCTCAATTTCAAATACATAAAAGAAGCTGCAAACTGTCATTTGGAGGAGCATTTGAGATCTTGCACTCTAGCAATTGTCAGTATTGGTTCAAATAAACTCATAAAAATTCTCTACAGGTTTGGATGCTTTTTACATCAACTCCTTTTCATGTGACTACTAGATTATTTCAATTTACATATGTGGCTTGCATATATATTTTTTTTAAATTTATTTTTAGAGAGAGGGGAAGGGAGAGAGCAACACTGATGTCAGAGGAACATCAACCAGCTACCTCCCACACACCCCCAACTGAGGGCCTGGCTGGCAACCCAGGCATGTGTCCCTAGGAATCGAACCACCAACCTTTCAGTTTGTGGGATGGCACCCAACCCACTGAGCCACCCCAGTCATAGCACTGCATTATATCTCTATCGGACAGCAGTGCCTACTTTTTTTTAATACCTACACCCAAGGAAACATAGATGTTGGTTAAGTAGCATGTTTAAGGTGGCAAGATATAACCCAAGTGTGAATTCCAAGGCAGGGTTCTGCCCACCATGCCAGCAGTCTCCCCCCATGAGTGAAGAGTAGGGGGAAGGGGATGAAATGAGAAGGGAAAGATTAGACTAAGGTAGAAGCCATTACCTTCTCCTTTGACTCCTTAGAAGTAGACAGGCAGGCAGCTGTGGAGAGATGGAGAAGAGATGGGATGGGGAGTGGTAGGGCAGGCAGAGGGATGGGTGTGAGGTTTCTGGGAGTAAGCAAGAAATGACTTCCAGTGTCAGTTCACACTCACCTGCCCAACCCAGCGCTTTGAGGAGTCCTAGGAGCAGGAAGGCAGAAAGGAAGAGGCCTATGCCATCCTCCAGGGAGGGTCCAGAGAGACCTGGTGGGAGGGGCAAGAGTGAGCTCCCCCATATCTTCCCCAGCACCCTACCCCCTTCGGGACTTCTTGATCCCTTTGTTTCTTACCTGCCACCTCAAGGGTGACTTGAGCACTGCGCCCCAAGGCAGGCAGGCTAGGATGGTGGACACGACAGGCATAGCGGGCCCCATGCTGAGCCGCAGTGACAGGGGGCAGCTGCAGGTGTGCTGAGAGGCTGACAGAGCCATCTGAGTGGTGGCGCAGGGCTGACAGCCAGCTTTGTCCCTTGGCCTTCTGAAAGCTGTCCTCTGGGCCACCTCGGAGTTCCCACTCCACCTCCAGGCCCGCAGGGGGATAGAAGTGGGACACGAGGCAGAGCAATTCTGGGGGTACCTCCCCGGGGGCAGCCGATACAAGAGGTGCTGGCGTCAGGGACACTTTGGGGGGCTCTGGGATGACAGAAGGAAAGGAGCATGGGTGAATCAATCTACATTGTCCTCCTTCAGAGTCCCTCAGTTTGCCCTCTGGCTTCCCCCAAACTAAGGGGGATTTGGATCTTTTTCTCCCAGGATGGGGAACCCACTATCTCCCCACTGGTACATCACAAGACTTCTCAAGTCAAAGTCCCTTAGATTCTTGGGGAGCCTCCACCCATTGCCCCTCTGGCTCCCAGGGACCCCAATCTATCTACCTCCGCTCACCCTGCATCCTCTTCACCACCCCTCCCCCTACATGGTGTCCCCATAATCCCAATGCCCACCCTCTATCCATGGGGACCCCAACTTACTCTGCACAGCAAGCTCCAGGGCGACCTGCCCTTGTAGGTACGGCAGATGTATGGTAGCCAGATAAGAGCCCTCCTGGAAGGGCCGCACTGAAGGCAGCCAGAGGGTTCCATTTCCGGTCCAGGGACCCCATGGCTCATTGTCATCCCAGGTGGCAAATGCCACTGCCCCATCTCGGGAAGCTGGCATTTGCCCACCTAGCCCAGGAGTTGCAGCCAGGAGCAGGTGCCCCTTACCCAGGTGCTGGCGTCTCCATTCCAGCCCAAAGGGGGGAGGGCCTGGGACCAGAGATGTAGTAGTCTCTGGGGTAAGGGGCATGTAGGCAAAGCTCAAGTCCAGCAGAGCATCTTGTCCCAGTCGGATTTGAGTGGTAGGGGTGTGGGTGACAACAGTCAGCACAGCTGGGGAAGATGGAGAGAGAAGGGAGGGGGAAGGGCATGAGAGAAAGGAGGAAAAAATAGAGAAGTGGAGTTATAGAGTGGACCGAACCCCAATTTACCCACCCCTCAGAAGACACCTCCTTTTCTGAGACGCACCATCTTCCAGCCATCTCTGCAAATAGCCTTTGCTCTGGGACTGGGTGGGACCCAGTGTGGCTGAAGGTAAGCAGAGTGGTTTAGGGGTAAATAGGGACAGGAAGTTAAGCACAGCCCTTGCAGGCTGCTCTGAACACAGTCCTCTTGAGCTCTAGGAACAGCAGGATCTGAGTGCATTTCTTTTTTTCTTTTTAAATTTATTTTTAGTGACAGGGGAAGGGGGGTAGAAAGAGAGGGAGAGAAAACATGGACATGCAAGAGATACATTGATTAGTTGCCTCTCACACACCCCCAGCTAGGGACCTGGCAACCAAGTCATGTGCCCTGACTGGGAATCGAACTGGCAACCTTTAGGTTCACAGGCTGGCACTCAATCCACTGAGTCACATCAGTCAGGGCTGAGTGCATTTCTGACACAGTCTGAATCAGTCCAGTCTCCAGCACCACCCTTAAAAGATCCAGGCCTTTCTTGGTTTGCTAGTAAAGACAATGATGATTCATGACTGTTGATCCTATGGTGCTATAAAGAGTACTTACCAACGTTGGAAGGTTCGGGTTCTGGCCTACACCTGAAAACAGACCTCTGCTCTACTGAAGCAACCATGATGATTAAATGCCTGGAGCCTGACTGCCCCATTTAATCCCAGCTCTGAAGCTATTTATGGGGCCTTGGGCCAGTTACTTCACTTTTCCATGGCTCTGCTTCCTAATCTCCTAATAACAGATCATTGGATAAAGATAACAGTGATGATGATAGTGCCTATTTCATGGGGTTGTACAGAGGGTTGAATAATTTAATCACTCCAGCTACCCAGTTATATTCAGTTCCTGATTCTGGATAACAAAGATACATATATAAGGAAGGCACTTAGTACAGTGCCTGGAACACAGTAAGTCTACAAAAGTATTTGCTGTGTTGCCTCTAACCAATTGCCAGACTTAACAGGCCCCAACTCAACAGCATCTCTGCAATATTCCCCACCCTGCTCCAATGTCCATCTTTCTTGCTTTGATGAAAGATCAGCACTTGGAGTCACAAGACACCTTCCTTTTATTCATTCAACTAATATTTACTGAGCATTTAGGATGTTCAAGGTAGAAGACAGACTAGTATACAAGATGGGCAGTCCCTGCCCTCAAACAGCTTACAGTTTAATAAGGGAGACAGATGAGCAAATTGCCAAGTATAATATGCTATGTGCTGTCCTCACCAGGCCCCAGTTCTGTCCCCTGAATACATCTGTTCCTAACTCAAGTTCTCACCAGCATGCATTTGGACAATTACAATAGCCTCCTCTTTGGTCTCTCTATCCTGTATCTCTCTCCTTCAATTCATCTTCTGCACTGTAGCCACTGTGGCTGACTACAAGTCTGACCTGGTCACTTGTTCAAAGTCACTTGTTCAAAAACCCCAGCTACCATGGAAACCAACTAAAGGCATAGGCTGGAGCTAAATGGCCCAGGTTCAGTTTCTACCCCCCTTTTTACAAGCTGTGTGTAAATTAACTAACTGCCCTGTGTCTTATACTTCAACTGTGACATGCGGATAGCATAAGTATATAGTTCCTATGGCAACTGAGAGAAAGAACTGAGATTATGCCTATAAAGTGCTTAGAACAAGACCTGGCATACAGAGAATGCTCAATGAATGTTAGCTGTTACTATTTCCACTACTATCATCATGAACTGGGTATCTTGGGAAAACCAGTTAATCTATATTTTCCTCATTACTCCAATGATCTGATCCTTGCCTACTTTTTATAAGAATCAAGTAAAATAACAGGCTCTTTGGAAAAATGGTGCACACACATGCACACGCACAAAACCTTCTGATGGTTCACTATCACCTGTGAGGTCTAGCCTGTAGGGTACTTGATAATTCAACCCCCAACCTATCTTTTGAGGCTTCTCTTGCACCCTAAGAACCAGCCACATGAAATCCCTTTCTTGCAACTAGTAGAGTTCTAATCATTACGAATTTCTTTACTTTGGTCATAAGATTCCTTCAGTTTCCAATGTCCCTCCTCATTTTCTCCCAAACACCTATAACTCCATGTCGCTCAAGGTTCCACTGCTACTTCCTCCCAGAAATGCTTGGGTCCTCCAGGTAGAAGTAATATTTTTTTTCTAGTGATTATGTGTATGTGATTTTCAATCCTAGTTTCTGGGGCCTACAAGGTTAAACTTCTCTTAACCTCATGGGGTTGTTTCCATTCAACAGAATAAACAAGAGTAGACAATGTCACTTAGTTTATCAAAATCCAGAAACATACTTTTGAATTGTTAAAAACAGTCCAGAGGATTAATAACAAAAGCTAGAGGGTTTTAGAGTTTAATCCTCAAGGTAACTGCTCTTTTAGTAGGGGTTATTAAAGCAGTTTCAGATCTGCAGCCCACACACTGGACTCTATAAAAATACAAATGTAAGTACAGCAGGGCCAGAACAGTAAGAAAATTTCTATCTGTTTTTACAACCTGCATTATATAGGTTTTTGCTTTTCTGTTTAAAAAAAAAAAAAGTGAATGGTAACAACTATTATAAAGTATTACTGAAGCCCTGGCTGGTGTGGTTCAGTGGATTGAGTGCCAGCCTGCAAACCAAGGGCTACCAGTTTGATTCCCAGTCAGGGCACATGCCTGGGTTGTGGGCTGGGTCCTCAGTGGAGGGCGTGCGAGAAGCAACCACACATTGATGTTTCTCTCCCTCTTTTTCTCTTTCTCTGAAAATAAGTAAGTAAAATATTTTAAAAAGTTAAAATATTACTGAAAATCAAGTAATCAAGCCTTTAGATCTATCAATTTATAGGAACTATGGAGAAAAAGGAACAAGGGAAATGACACCATGAGGAAATGATTGACCAGATACAGAATATGGGAAATACTAGTGGGAAATACTACAGAACAAATAACAAATCAATCACATTTAAAAGCGGAGGATGGCACAATTATAGACTAAAAGAGATTAAGAAACAAAACTGTTATGGACTGAATGTCTGTGGTCTCCCCACTTCCCAAATTCATATGTTGAAGGCTTAACTCAAAATGTGACCATATTTGAAGACAGAGGCTATGAGGTGAGAAAGGTTAAATGAAGTAAAAAAAAATGTAAGACCCTAATCTGACAGAGCTGGTGTCCTTGCAAGAAGAGAAACACCAGAGATGTCTCTTTTTCCTGTGAGGACACAGCCACAAAGGGCCAGCTCTCACTAACCCTGCTAGCGCCTTGACCTCTGACTTGATCTTAGACTTCTAGCCTCCGGAACTGTGAGAAAATACATTTGTTGTTTAAGCCTGAGCAGATACAACAACGAAATAACATCATTTAGACAATTAGGAAATTTTTAATATGGGCTAAGAATTAAATGATATTAAGGAATTGTATTGTTTATTTTGTTAGATATGTTAAAAAGGAAATCATAACCTCTGTGACAGCCTGGATGGACCTAGAGAACATTATGCTAAGTGAAATAAGCCAGTCAGAGAAAGATAAATACCAAATGATTTCACTCATATGTGGAGTCTAGTGAGCAAAATGAACTAATAAGCAAAATATAAACAGGTTCATAGATAGAAAGCAGACTGACAGCTATAGTGGAGGAAGCTGGGGGGGTGGTGAAGGGATTGAACAAAGAAGAAAAATTCATGAGAAAGATGCTTTCTGAATTACTTATGAGTAAAATATTTAATGCCTGGAATCTTCTTTAAAACACTTTAAAAAAAGAAAAGAAGATGGGGAGGATAGGTGAAACAACTGGTAAAACGTAACAATTCTACAAGTGGGTGATAGGCATGTGAGTTCATTATACGCACTCTTTCTACTGCTGTGTATCTTTGAGATTTTCCACAACAATGTTTTGTTTTGTTTAAATCCTCAACTGAGGATATGCTTTAGTGATTTTAGAGAAAGGCCTGGCTGGTGTGGCTTAGTGGATTGAGTGCTGGCGTGTGAACCAAACAGTCACCAGTTTGATTCCCAGTCAAGGCACAAGGCCTGGTTGTAGGCCAGGTCCCCAGGGATTAGGGGGTGCATGAGGGGCAATCACACATTGATGTTCCTCTCCCTCTTTTTCTCTCTCCCTTCTCCTCTCTAAAAATAAATTAAATTAAATTAAAAAGTATAAGAAAAAGATTTTAGAGAGAGAAGGGAGAAACATCACCCTAAAATTGTTTTAAAAGAATGATGAGAATTAAATGTCATTCAATATATGCTAATAAAGTATATTTGTCAACAAACATTTAAAAGTATCCTATATTTTCCCTGGCTGGTGTGGCCCAGTGATTGAGCACCAGCCTGCAAGCTGAAAGGAGCCAGTTTGACTCCTGGTCAGGGCACATGCCTGGGTTGCCAGGCCAGGTCCCTAGTTGGGGTGCGACCACAAGACCATTTCTCTCCCTCTCGTCCCCTCTCTCTAAAAATAAGTAAAATTTTGCCCTGGCTGGTGTAGCTCAGTGGATTGAGTGCAGGCCTGTGAACCAAGTGGTCACAAGTTCGATTCCCAGTCAGGGCACATGCCTGGGTTGCAGGCCAGGTCCCCAGTAGGGGCATACTAGAGGCAACCACACATTGATACTTTTCTCCCTCTCTTTCTCCCTCCATTTCCCTCTCAATAAAGAAAGAAAATATATTTTTAAAAATTAAATTAAATTAGGCCCTGGCTGGCATAGCTCAGTGGATTGAGCACGGGCTGCGAACCAAAGCATCACAGGTTCGATTCCCAGTGAGGGCACATGCCTGGGTTGCAGGCCATGGCCCCCAGCAACTACATATTGATGTTTCTCTTTCTCCCTCCCTTCCCTCTCTAAAAATAAATAAATAAAATAAAATCTTTTAAAAATATTTTAAAAAACAAACAAACAAAAACTCCCATGAAACTTCCTCTTTAAAAAAATTAAATTAAAATCTTAAAAATATATAAAATAAAAATATCCTATATTTGATAAGAAATAATGTACAAATGTATGTTAGCAAAATTATCAATGATCTGTGACCCTGGAAAGATTCAATTTTTAATAATTCATTAAAACAACAAATTTCATTGTCTTAAATTCCTTATCAAGCAGAAATGCTTGAAAGGGAAGGCGAAGCACAGCAACTAGTTTCTACCTCCAGTGGGTGTGAGATGCAAAGACCTGGGCATTCCCCTGGCTGCACTTCTTTCAGGGCCCAAGTGACTTCCTACTCAGTTATCCACGACAAATCTGCCAAGAACCTTCTTGAGAGCAGAATCTACATCATATCAGTTCTATGACCCATGCAGGGCCCAGAGCCACCCCAGAGATTCTGATTTAATTTGTCTGGAATGCAACTCGGGTTACAGTATATTTTACAAACTTCCTAGAGGATTTCTATTTGCAGCCTGGACCAGGACTGAGAACTACTGGGTTCTTGGTGCTAGTAAGTATTTACTGAATCACTGAAAAATTAACAAAGGATGTCCCTTGATAGGCACAACAATGTAAAGGCAGATGGGAAACAGTGTCCACATTTTACAGATGGAAAAACAGACTCAAGAGATAAGGACTTTGTTGCCCCACCCCAGTAAAGTCAGTAGCTGTGGGAGATACTCCTCCACACTGGAGAGAGCTACTGTACCCAAGGGCAGTTTGCTCCAGCCCCTGCCGAGGGGTGGGGTTCTGCGGGTGATTCTCTCAGTGAGGAAGGTGGCAGGGGCGAGGTACTGGGAAAGGGAAGGTACATAACTAGGGTAGGGCTGACCCGCCAGCCAGGCTGCCTTGTTTACAAAGAATCGCAAAAAACTGAGGGAAGCCGAGAGCTCTACTCACATCCTCCTTCACCAGGTGAGCTCCTAGATATCCTAGTCAGACCACACCATTCTGCTTTACCCGACCTCTTCATCCCTGAGCCCCTGTCCAGTGAAATGCCCACCCCGGGGTCTCACACCCGAGTTTAAGCAGTAGGAATTGCTTGCAATGGGAACCATCTCGTTCTCCCGCCTTGCCCCTTCCGCCCACTGTAGCACACCATTTGGTAACCAGAGTCAGGGCATACCTCAAGGGCCACAGGGAAAGGGCTGTCAGGGAAGTCAAAACACGAGAGCGCTGAAACGCAAAGGTGGGGGTACCTAGCAAGTTACAGATCTGAGAGAAGTGAAAAATGTTTCTGCCCTGAGCCCCTCCCAACAGTGTTGCCTTACAAAGTCTGGTACTTGGAAACCCCGCTTGTTTTCAAAGCCCCGCCCCAAACCTCAGGGCGTTTTTTTGGTTTTGGTTTTGGTTTTTTTAACTGGTTGGGGCTAGAAGACACAGTACAGATAGTTTCTTTCTACTAGAACCCACTCGCTTTGCAAATAAGGAAACAGAACTCGCTGAAGTCCAGGCAGCAGTCGCCGGCTGACCTAGATGCTTAGAATCCACCCATTCAGTTCCACTTTCTATCTCCAGCTACCTGTTGCCATGGTGATGAATGCAGAGTCCCTCTGAGACTCCGACTGTAGTTGCAGGAGGCTGGAGAGGCTGATGACCCGGCTGGACACGCTGACCATGAACCAAGTCCCGTCCAGGGCCCGCGGGCAGCTGTGCTCCGGAGTCAGGCCGCTGGCCCAGTTCGCTGAGGCAGGGAGAGGGAGGTAGCGGCTCATCTCACAGTGTGGTGCAGGAGCCCTCGGAGGGTACCGCCTGAAGGCCGCCTGGAGGGCGCCTGCTGGATCTGCGCGTGAGCAGGAAGGGTTGCAGCTGCAGATAATTGTTAGAACGGCGTGGGGAAGGCAGCGTCCAGGGAATGTCAAGTGCACACACAACCGGTTAGGGAAAGATTTTGAAGTAATCCAGATTCATTTTACAGAGGGGGAAACTGAGGCCCGAGGTCACTGCGCAACCTAAAGCGGAAGAGGTTTCCGTGGAGGCCGACAGTTGGGGGCGAGTTCGGGAAGACTCACCACGCACTTTGAGGTAGAGCTCAGGGTCGAGGTCTGACCGGAGAGGGGGTTCCCCCGGGCCTTGGCGCAGCAACAGTGCGGCGGGTTTCTTGGCCAGGCGGCCCCCGCCTGCATCTTCCACAAACCAGCACTCTACCACTGCCAGTCCCGCGGACACCGTGGTCACCGAGCCTGGGTGAGAGTGAAGACGCGGCCCAGACGTCAGGCGACCCGACCTCTTCCCACCCTCCAGTGGGGCGCTCGGCGCGTTCCATCTCCCCCCGCTCCCCCACTTCAGTTTCAGCGCAAAGAGTCGCGGGGTTTGCTCACCCAAAGCCACAGCGAGGAGCAGAGACGGGAGCTTCATGGCGCTGTGATCTCCTCAGCCCTGAAGCCTCCTCTTTCCCCCTTTCACTTTCACTTCTCTCAAAAGGCGGGCAGGAGAGGCGGAGGAAATCCCCACCCTTATTAGGTGAGGGCGTGTGATGGGTAGGTGCTTTCCCCACTGGTGCAGTCCAGACGCCCGAACATCCTCTCCAGTTCTGGTCTCAAGACCTTGCGCCTCACCCTCTAGAACCACCCAGCGCCGCGGTACAGCGCCTCCCCCAACCCTAGGCTCCTCCCGCTGCCTCCTCCCCACCCCCCACTCCACTGCGAGAGCCGTCACTGCGCTGCCCAGCGCTTGTGCCCAGTCCCCAGCAAACACACAGGGGTTGTCGGGAAGCCAAGTGAAATGACCAATAAATATTTTAATCACTGTTTAAAAAAAATAGGATTTAAAATAAAAACCTTGTATTCCTACGACTTCCTCCCTCCCTCTCTCCCCTCCTTCCCCAATAACAGAGTTGAGGGACCCCCAGGAAGGGAAGGAGGGATTAGGGTAGACATTAGGGGTACGTCATTGGGGGAGGGAACGGACTGGGTTCTAGGACAAGGATGGGGCTCCAAGGACTGGCCCCCACACCACAAACACAGACTTCAGATACAAACTACAACCACCTGACTCTTGACCCTGTGACTCCAGATGCTCAACAGGCGCCCTCTCCCTCCCCCACTACATGCGCCCTATTCTGGAGCTGGGGCTTCAGTGTACACATCTGAGGAGAAGGAAGGGCCTATCAGGAAACTTTGAGGGGCAGAGACTGAGGAGTGTAATGGGGTGGTTGATGGCTCAGTGTGGTTCCCCCTCCATAATATGTACAAGTCCATAGAGATAAGACAGTAACGAGTGGGAGATCACCTGAGAGCCCCAGCACCCCGGCTCCTGCTCCCTATTTTCTCTTACCTGAAAACCACTCCCAGTAGCTTGCCCCTTCAGTTTGTTCCTCCGCCCCCATTGTACCCCATTTCTACTTTGTGCACACTGGGTGGGGACCAGACACGACGGCTGGATGGAGGCGTGGCCCCACTCACCTCTTCACTGTTGCCCCCACCCACCCCAGGGGACTCTCTTCTGGGTGGGAAAGCTGGCCCTGTGGGCCCTCCTGGTCCCGGTCCAGCCCCACCGCCACCTAGGCGGTGCCGGCGCTCACAATGTCCTCGGTGGCGCATGAAGCTGTCTCGCCACATGAATTTCTTGGCGCAGACGCCGCATTCGTAGGGCTTGAGGCCTGTGTGAGTCTTCATGTGCTCAGTCAAGTGGTGTTTCATCTTGAACTTTTTGTTACACACGGGGCAGTCAAAGGGTCGAAGGTTGAGGTGCATGTTCACATGCCGGTCTCGCATGCTCTTGTGGGAGAAGGCCTTCCCACAGTGGCACAGAAAGATCTTATTGCCATCCCCGCTGCCTGTCCCTCCAGTGCCAGCTGGGACACCCAGGGCCCCTGTAGATGTTCCAGACAGGGTCACAGCCCCATGTTGAGCTTGATTCCCTGGCGGCTGGCCTGGAGCCTGTGAGGAGGAGGATGACGAAGAAGATGGGAAGACTAGGATCTGGTTGCCCTGCACGTCTACAGGAAGCAGGGGCTGTGGTGGGTGGGAAGGGGCATAGGAGGAAGGGGTAGGCCCCCCTGAATCATCAAGCCCTGTCCCAGGACCCCCACCCTCATAGGTGCCAAAGTCATTGGAGGACTCACAGAAATTGACCTGCTCCTCTCCTTTGCCTGGAGGCTCAGTCAGGGTCCGGACATCACTTATGCTAAGGGTAGCCTCAGGTCCTCCCCCCACTGCAGCCCCAGAGCCACCCCCTAGCTCTTCGTCTTCATCATCTTCACAGGTCAAAACCAGGTCTTCCTCCTCCTCATTATCTTCCAGATCTTGGTCTTGAGGAACCAAAGGCACTGGTGCTTGGCAGTTTCCACCCCGTTTCACATATATCCAGTGCTTCTGTGGCATGATGCTAGGGGGTGCATAGGTAGGCCTCCGGAGCCCAGCCCCAGGGACCACTGCACCCCTCCCATCCCCACTGTCATCGCACAGCTCATCTGCCTCCAGCAGCAGCTTCCCAGAGGTAGCCCCCCCACTGCCAACCACAGGGGCTGAGAATATAGGGCCACTTCCTCGACGCTCCCTGCTGCCCACTGCAGAACCTGCAAACACCTCTTGGGAGGAAGATGAGAAGTCAGTGGACTCCCGGGGGCTGAAGTAGTTGCTGCTGCTGGGTGATTGATTCTCACTGGTCCGACTAGAGGCATGGGAGCGCACAGAGCCCATGGTGGCAGAGGCCACAGTACCCCCACTTCCTGATGGGACCCCAGCACCAGGGACAGTGACAGAGGCGGCTGCAGCAGTGGTGCTGGTGGCCGAGGCCCGGCCTTGGCGAAGGAGTTCAGTGCATTTGTCCACAATGTGCCACATTTGGAGCACAGAACCCACCGTGAGGAAGTTGACAATGTCAGCAGTGGCCATGCTGAGGCGACCAGTGTAAGCTGAAGCTAGGACAGTCTCGAAGGCGCCTGGGTCCATGACACTGGGCAGCGAGATGGAGGTCATACCCTTGAGTAGGACCTGGTCGTGGAAGTAAGGGGAGGAGGCAGCCAGGACAGCACGATGAGCCCTGAACTCCCTGCCCTGCACTCGGATGGACACGTCGCAGAGCTGGCCCTGAAGCCGCTGCTGATTGAGGGACTCCAGGAGGGCACTGGTTACCTCAGGGAAGGACACGTGTACCACTGCAGCTGCAGGCAGGGGCAGTGGGGGCGGGGCCAGCGACAGAGGCAGGGGAAGTGCTGCCCCACTTGGAGACAAAGGAGATGGTTCCATGGTGTGGAGGGAGGGAGTACCCCCCCAGCCACAGGAACAAGGGAAGGAGGGCGGCTGGGGGGGGGTCTCTGGGAAGAAAAAAAGAGAAGAGAACATTTCATAATGAAACAGCCCTTTACAGTTTAAAAACGTGTTTACACCCATTATTTCAATAACTCCCACAATGCTGTTGTTCCTCTCAACCCCATTTGTAGATGAGGAAACTGAGGCTAAGAAAGACAAAGAGATCATTCGTGGTCACAACCAGCAAGTGGCAGCACCAGCAAACGCAGGTGTCCTGACTCCAAATTCAGTGCTCTTTCTTTGGAGGTTAGGGTAATAGGTGCTCTTTGGAAATGGGGTGCCTCCTCTTGAAATTTCCAATATGCCAGAGATCCTGACTTTCCAAAATTTACCTTTTTGATGTTTTGCATCCTTTCCTTGGCAAGGGGGTTCTGTTCTGTTACTTAATACCACCCTCTCTCCAGTTCCTTTCAGGCTATATACCTCGGGCTCTTTCGCCAGTCACGCCCCATTGCTCCCCGCTTAACTCTAGCCTCGCCCCCCCATCAAGACCCGCCCCCAAGCCCTTTCGGCCCCGCCCTTTTCAAGACCCGCCTCCGTAGCTTTTCGGCCCCGCCCCTTGCCTACCCCCGCCCCTCTCTGCTCCGCCCCAAGAGCTACTTCGACCTTCTCTCCCACCCGGAAGGCGCCCCACAACCCCGCGCGTCTCCGCTTACCGGGCCGCGCGCCCCCGGGCCCCCCCACCCCTCACTCGGCCACCAGAGCCGCAGCCTGAGCCCCTCCCGCCGCCATCTTGCGCCGACTCCCTCCGCCCTCCGCCTCTGCTCCACCTCCTACTTCTACGGCTTTAAAGGCACAGTCAGGCACCCCGCCCGTGCCGCTGGGCAATACTCGGCAGACTCTACCACTTCTCCTTTAAAAAATAGTTGTTCATTCCACCTTAAAGGTACCAGTTCTCTCCTTCGCTAAGGACTCAGCACTTGATTTGGCCGAAGCATTTATTCCCCTTTAATTCTGTAAACCTGCCTCTTCTGTTAGTGCTAGGTCTTGGCCTTGGAGCTGTGGCCATCAACGCGTTTGCGGGGTGTAATCGCCCAAATCTCCCAGCTTCTGACAGTACCCCAGAAACCCCGCCCTCTTTTTCTGGGCCTAGGATTGGCCGAATAACCTTGAGTCGGCTCGTGATTGGCCTTTTTACTCCCACCGCCCAAAGTGAGAAAGTAAAGTACTGAAGCTTTTTTTTTTCTTTTTTGTGCCTGGCCATAGGGTAAGGGGAAAGCCTGAGGGCAGGGGAACTCCTGGGGAGTGGGACTAAAGGCAGGCTAGAAAGGGAGCATCCAGGGTTACCCTGGGGCCGACCAACCCTGAGCCAGAGAACAGCTGGTGTCAATCCAGGAGAACAGAAGGACAAAGACAAAGCAGGATTACAATAAGAACTTTATTGTTTATTAATGTTTTGTGTAAAACTTAAGTTGTTTTTTTTTAAAGAAACACCACCCAGAGGGGATTAATTAGCTCAATCCATCCCTTCCTCAGTCATCTGCTTCCCACCATTCTCCAAATACTATCCCCAAACATTTTGGAGTCCGGGTGGTGGGGAGGCAGCTAATCAGAGTCTGAGAGCACGATGATCTCCTCTGGATCGCATTGTGTGGCCACACTCATCTGCAAGGTAGTGAAAGACAAAGAGTCAGAGAGGTCTGGAATACAGGGGGAGGAGAAGCAGGGGGAAGGCCTGATCAGATTAAAAACTAGAGTAGGAAAAAGGAAGAGAGGATGTGGTGAGTGCAATATTCAGATAGAGCATCTGAAAATTAACAGGCATTGAAAGAGAATGAAGTGAGGAAAAACAGCCTCCCCCTCTTACCTTATAAGTACCAGGCTTGGATGGTTTTAACTGGGGGGTTAGGGGCAACTGGGTTGGAGATGGGCTACAGAGGGAACTGGTCACCAGGCCATGGCTAGGAGAGTCCACCCTTGTTGAGGAATCGGCAACTGAGGCCATGGAAGCCAAAGGGGAAGGTGGGCTGGGCAGGGTATGTATCTTCTTCCCAGTCTTCTCATGTACTGCCCTTTGTCCTTCCACATAGCTAGGGACAGAAACATAAATGTAGGGAGCTTGAGGCTGGAGGGGGACTGTCAGTCTCTCCCAGCAGACTCAGTTCCTCAATACTCCTCTCAGAAAGCCCCCTGCAATCCCTCCTTGGCTTCCCTCTTCTTCCTCCTTGTTGTTACCTGTTTCCTAACGGCCCTGCTCCTGTTTGCCTCTCCTTCCGAAATTTCTTGCAGGGGGGACTAGAATCTCCCCAGGTGTGAGGAGAGACACCTCCATTGAAGGAAGTAGAGGTGACTATGGCTGCTCCATTTTCCAAGACAGTGGTAAGGGGGTCCTCTGACTGCTTCCTGGAAGAGGAAGTATCCCCTTCCTCAGGGGACGGGGTGTTATCCACAGTCAAGGCTTCGATCTCTAGCTCAAAGACCTGAGACACAGGGCTCTCTTTCTCCAGGGGCAACTCCTCGAGGTATTCTCCGTTGCTTTCAGCATCTATACTGGAAGGGGCTAGGGGCTTTTCTGACAGTGAAGATGGTGATGCTATGGGTCCTTTGTTTTGCTGATCCCCCAAAGACATGTTGATCCCTTTGCTAGGGTCCAGGTTCTTTTCAGTGGATATCTGTGGTGGGAACATGGGGCTTTTGTCTCCATCTTTACCTGGAACAGTAAAAAGAAGAGAGGGATAGCATGAGAACTAAGGAAAGAATGCTGCTGAGAAAACACTAGGAGTAAGAGGAAGAAAGGAAGGGCCTCAAACAGGTGCCTTATGCCCAATAGAGTAGAGGGAACTGACACATGAGGAGACTTCCCTTGACATACCTCCTTCCTCATCTTCCTCTTCATCATCCTCCTGACCTTCCTGAATCTGTTCCAAATCCTCTTCTTCGGAATCTGTGGCTTCCTCTTCATCCTCCTCCTCTTCTTCTTCCTCTTCCTCACTTTCCTCATCTTCTTCGTCATCTGTCTCAGCCTTGGAGGAGGTAGGGCATTCCTGGGATACCATTCCACTAGGGCCCTGAGGGGACAAAGGAATTTCTTTAAGTAATCCCTTGCCCCAGAGAGTCTACATCTGTGTTCTTTCTGCAAACCCCCATCAGTCACCCAGGACTCCCTGCTGACCAGTGTAAGGGAAGAACAGGGTTTCTCTGAGGAGTGTATCCCTTCCACACCTCACCAGAATCCAAGGAGACTTTGGGGGGGTCTGCAGAGTGGGAAGAGGTAGCTTGGGGGAGCCGGGCTTTTCTCTTCTGTCTCTCGCCCTCCTCACTCTTATCTTGCATCATCGCATATTTGGAGATGACTTCATCCAGCCGGCTCATAGCCAAGCTCCGGTTTTCCCGAAGGCGCCGGGCTAGGGTGGGATCTGACAGTGCGGGGTCAATGCCTATATGGGAAGATATAAAGTCAGAGTACTCAGTCCAAACCCTAGAAGAAGGGACTAGAGAGAGAGATGCCCCCTCTACCACACATCTGACATACAAGAGTTATTGATGGGCATCTCACTAATCCCTACCTGGCCTATAGTCATCTGTGAGGTGACAGCCAAAGTTGTAGATGAGATCAAGGTGGCGTCGCTCCTGTAGCCTGATGCCCACATCTCGGAAGGCATCCTGAGCCATGACCTGGAGCTGCTGTCGGGGGAGGCCAAGGCTGTGGCGAGCAGCTGCCTTTTCCACAGCCCGCAGCACATCTCCATAGTCAGGGAAGGTATCAGGCCCTGGCTTGTTGATGAGTCGCTCAATACGCCTGTTAACCTCTGGGTAGCGGGTGCCACGGTAGGGAATGCGCTGTTCTATGACTCGGCCTGTCAGTGAAGAACAGTCTTTCAGCTCACACAGCCTCCCAAAGAGGCGGATCAGCTTCCTCTTCAACCTTGCCTCCTGCAGGTATGTGGAGTCTGGGTCATCCAATTCTTTGAGATCCAGTTCCTTTTCCTGCAGCCGCCGAATCTCAGCCACATACAGTGCTAACAGCTGCTCCAAGCGCTGGATCTGCCGCCGGGAACCACGGGTCCTTGGGGCCTCAGAGCCAGTGGTCTCAGCATTCGTGGGGTCCGAGGAGGGGTCTGCAGGAGGGTTATTCCCAGAGGACTCACTAGAGGTGGTGGCAGCGGGGGCCAGATTCAGCTTTTTCTTGGCTGAATGAGCCTTGAGAACAGTGCAGAGCTCATTAATGTACACATAGAGCTTAGCTGGCCGGCTCTGGGCCCGAGACAGGACCCGGGTGAGGATGTTGCAGAACTCCGCTGACGCCAAAAACAGTGAATGGGCACGCTGCTGCCGTTTATAGAGGAATGGGACCACATCAGGGTGGTCTGCTGTCTGCGCCTTACACAGTTCAAGGAACTGGAGGGTTCAGGGGAAGAAGGGAGGGGGAAAGAGATAAGGGAAGGGGTTGAGAGAAAGAAGGCAAGGTGGGATTAGTGGGGAAGAAAGGACAGGAGAGCCAGTCAGCCACCCCTCTCCCTGGGGTACAAGAATTCTCTCCCCTAAAGCTCACCTCTTCAAACAGCTTCTCATTCTCCAACTTGTAGCATTTCTTGCCGCCCGAACTACTGTTCCCTCCAGCCCCATGGGACTGAGAGGAGCCAGGGGCTTCTGCCCGGGGTGAGGTCGGATTGGGGAGTGGGTGGGAGGGCCCTGGCTGAACAGCTGCTTCATCTTCGTCATCATCATCCAGCACAATGATGCTGTTATCGGTGGCCATGGGGGATCAAATCCCCCAGAGGGAGGAAGTGTTGGGGATTTCGTAATTCCTGCTAGAAGGGGATGGGGCCTTAGAAAGAGCCCCCTCCAGCATAGCCCCATCCCTTCATCTCACACATTTTCCAATCTTCTTGGGCTTCAGTAACACCCAGCCCTGCCCAATGTCCTCAATGCCTATTTTCAGCAACTATTAGTACCATGTCTTCTGGGGCCCCTACTAGGGTGCCCCAAGGGACCTGAAACCTGAAGTTCCCACCTCCAGCTCCACCCCTCATAATACATCCGGCCTTTCATTTGCGGTTTCCCCAGTATTCCTCCTAGTTGGCAAGTTGATTTTTTTCTCACGACCCCTGGACCACTTCTCACACTGCACTCCAGATTTCACTGACATCCCTTAGCACAGGTACTAAAACTACACCCGTCAGTAACACCTCACGTGTTTCCCCCTCTTGCTCTCAAACACGTCAAATTCACACCTTCACCCCATCCTGAAGAATCACCCCAACTCCCAGACTCTCTGAGATGAATAAGATTCCCTCCTAACAATTCATTATCCTTTCTAAATTATCTCCATATCCCACCCCTAATGGATCTCAAACCGCGGAGTTAGAATGGAGGTGTCTCACCTCAAGTCCCCTCCCTCTCACCCCACCCTAATTTTCCCTATTCTCTCTCTACGACCTGTAACTGATCGTGAGCCCCGCAATGGGTTCTCCCAATTCCTCTCGGATGCCAGCCCTATGTTTGGCCCCTTCCCCAAGAAGAGCTTCCCGCCAAGTCCCCCTCCCCCAGTTCGGCCCCCGCCCGCCCCTCTCCCCTTGACGGATAGGGGGGAAGAGTACCACAGCTTGCCCCTCAGACATAGCGCCCGGGACTCCCCAGTACCTCTCCCTTGACATTCCCGCCCCCACCTTCGATCCCCGCACCGTCCGGCCCGCACCTCAGAAACAGCCTCTCGAGGCGACCCTCATCGCGGATATCAGAAGCTCGCATGGTTCCCTCCTCTTTCCTTCCCCCTCCTACCGCAGGCCCTATTCTGGACCGGAAGCTGCCGAATTTCCGCCTACAGGAACCTAAGTGCGGCCATATTGCCGTACGGAACCCAGCCTCCACTGTGGCCGGAACTGACGGTACGCCGGATTTCCGAACCCCACCACTGCCGCCTTCATAGCATGAGGCTCTTCTCCGCCGGATCTGTACTGGACGGGCTTATTCCCTCGGCATGTCCTTAAGGACCTGTGGACCGCCATTTTGCCGTACGGCATTGACTGTCCAGACACCAGGGTGCCGCCAGTGAAGCTCTTTTCAACCAGCCAACCGCCGCCGAGTCGCGCGCCGGGAGGACTGAGCCACCTTTCTTAGTAGGTGAGGGGCGGCGAAACAAGGCAATTAAGGAACTGGGTCCTCCAAGGCTGCGCCTGGTGCACCGAAGGGCGGGAGTCACTTATAAGGGAAGTAAAACCTTTTCCTTCCGATGGGCTGTTGACAAGCTTTCCTGAACTGCTTTCCTACCTGTCAAGTTCCAGATTCCACCGCTTCATCGACGGTGTCTGCCTCTTCCCTTACACGGGCTGCTCGCGCCTTTGCTGCTTCTACATAATGGTGACTACGTCTCCCAACCGTCTCCCAAACGTGAAATCAAAACACATGCACACAAATCAACGCGCTAAACATTGTGTTATTATTGCTATTGTTGATTTGCTTTTCAAGCATCACCACAGAACTAATGACCAATCAAATAGGTGGAACCTAGGCGGTTCTCCGTCCAATTCTGGAGAAGTCACTTAGGCGCAGGCAGTGATGACCTAGAAGCCGTGCTTTGCCAGGGCCTAGGGACTGGGCCTGTGTGACAGGGACCTTGAGGAGAATCTGCAAATTGCCATTGTGAGGGCTGCAAGACGAAATGAGCCTCGGGAAATACCTCGGGTCTCGTCTCCTTTATCTTTGGGGGAGCTGAGGAAAGAGCAAAGAGAGAAGAAACTTTGGTTTTGGTTTTCTTGTTTTAGAGTTTTTCTCTCCCCCCTCCCTTTTATTTATTGATTTTAAAGAGAGAGATTTTGTTGATTTTTCCACGTGTCTTGACTGGGGATGAAACCCTCAACCCTGGGGTATGGGGATCACGCCTCAACCAGCTGAGCTACCGGGCCAGAGCCTACTTTGACATCCGCCTCACCTACATCCCACCTCAGTCAGTTTTAGGGAGGCTGGAGGGACTCCTGGAGGCAAGGCTGGCTTGAAAGGTGAGTTTGTGGAGAAAGTGGAAAGGCTGACACGGTTACAGTGGCTGAGATTCCCCACCTCCTGGACCCATGTGCATTTCACAGCTCGTGAGCATCTTGTCACTTTCTAGGACTGCAGAAATCCCCACACCTCCAAGCCCTCAGAGACCGGGAACTTCAAACCCTCCCTTCCATTTAAAGAATTCCACACCACATCTTTCCAAGTGTCTTTAAAAAAAAAAAAGTGCAGTTCTCAGCCATGAAATCTGGAAATAATCTCACCTTGTCTTAAATAAACATATGTAGCCCACTTCTTTCCCCAAGGCACCATAAACATCACCTTGTCTACTCATTAAAAATGTATTTTTTATTCTTAACAGTTATAAAAAGTGTATACAATCTTCATGCTTTTTGATCAGTTCTGCTGTCATAGTAATTGTAATGATAACCCTGAAGAAATTTTTTTTAAACTGGAGTTTTGGTCACAAAAAAAATAGTTTTCATCTGAGACCTTCAAGTATAAAAGCATAAAATTGCTCCTGGGGAAGTGGAATGGTAAGAGGAGTTCAAGGAGAAAAGAGAAAAAGAAGAAAAAATGATTCCCAATTGTTAAGAATATATGTATTTTTTAATGGATAATAGTAGGTATCAAGTCACTCTCATATTTCAGTGCCCTGGATATTCAAAAGGGTGATTTAATTGTTTTATTTTAAAATGTAAATATTTTTAATATGCCAGGAATTACATCCTTGAAATAATTTCAATTTATGATGAAAAAAACATAGATGCTTACTTAAAAATATGTGAGGAGTACAATTTTTAAAAAATTGTTTCCTAGAGTATAGACAGAAATTTTAGACAGCTGCTCTAAGCTATCCAAATGTGCCCTCCATAGTCCCCAACAGTCTTACTTGCCCCCATCTCCCCTCTCACCTCCATAGCAGAGTAAGAGGATGTTTATAGAAAAGGTGGTCACAACTCCAGCTCCTCCTCGTTCTGAGGTGTTCCCAGGAGCCAGTCCCCAAACATTGCCCATGGTAGAGAACATAGCAGCTTACAAAGAGCCTCCAGCATCAGCAGTGTCAGAAAAATGGCCAGGAAGATAAAGAAGGCCTTGTCCAAGGCCCGACGTAGGGTACCCCTGGGAGGAGTAGGACCCTGGGCAAAAGCCAGGAACACATCCTCCTTGTCCACACCACCCTCCTCCTCTGCCATCCTAATTTATGGTCTGGCAGCTAGCTGGATCAGGGAGGCTGAGATAGAAGCCCTTGCTCAGCAATGCCAGGATTAAGGGATGGGGTGGCTTAAAGTCCTGCACCTGCCTGGCTTGACCCTAATTCCTGAGAGAAAGAAAGACAGAGAGAGTGGGAGGGAAACAGGAGAGGAGAGCCTCTGAGCCTTTGGAACAATCATATAATTATATAATGCAATGTAAATGATCTGATTTGCTATCTTGAGCCGATGTCAGTCAAAGATCTAAAGTCCATTCCAGATTAACAGTAGGTAGTTGGGGGTGAGGGGTGGGACTCTCCTACAGAGGCTGGTGGGAACAAGCAGGTGCAGGAGTTCAAGGGGAGGTTTGTAAATATTTAAAAAAAAGAAGAATAAAGAAAGAAAGGAAAGGAGGAAGAAGAAAAAGGAGAAGGGGGAGAGGGAGGAAGAAGATGAGAGAAACAAAGACCATCATTGGTCAGCAGAGCAAGAGTGTTTGATTGGGACTTACCAGTTGGGCCAATAAGGAAGAGAGAGATTTTTCCGTGGGAGGTCCTGGTCTGAGTTGTTGGTGGGAAATATTCCCCAAGAAGTTGTCTTAGAACAGGGATTGAAGGCTTTTTCTGGACCCTATTCCCCAAGCACTGGCCTGAAGTTCGGTGAGAGAAATGGAAGCCTGGAGCCCCTGGGATAAGTGGTGGTGATGGCGCAGACATCGGAGGAAGTGTGTAAGTTGTAGTGGACTTCATACCTGGATCGTTTAGGGTCTCCTACCTAAACTTCATTTTGACCTTAATAGGAAGATCTTATTTACTTGGGTAGATTTTGTTAACCCAAAATGGTACAAATGATGCCACAATTTTGTTTAGAGTCAACTCATATTATCATTTGCCGTTTCCACAGGGGTTCACATTATGAAACAAAAAACCTGGGATCAGGGTCCAAACTAATAATTTATTAGTTATGTTAAGTTAAACAAAGAGGCCACTATATTGAAATGGCTCTTATTAACAGGCCCAAAATGGAGTCACTTTTGCTACTCCCCACCAAGAACTGATACCTAATTTAACTGCAGTTTCAGCCTCTCCCAGGAATGGAATTTTAAATGAATCAGTCTGGAATTTCCTAGTCACACTAAGGTGGTACCTTACTAGTGGTACCTTCCTAGTTACCACTAAGGTGGTAATCTGCCTGATGAGACCCCATTCTTTCCCCTAAGAAAAGATGATCTTACCTGAAATAATCTACCCTTTCAACTTCCTTGTTCCCCTTTCCCCATATTTCTGTTTATAAAAGCTTTACATTTGTCTAGTTCCTGGGGGGTATCTATTTACTAGATGAGATGCTGCCTGATTCATGAATCATTGAATAAAGCCAATTAGATCTTTATATTTACTCTATTGAATTTTTGTTCTTTTTTTAACTTTAACTTTTTATTATCTTTTAGTTCAGTTTATGTAATGATCTTCATAAAAATCTATTGAACAAAAGGCCTTGCTTATCATTTATAAAGCAAACTGAAAACTAAGTTGTTGTAGCATTTAGTAAATGAAATAATAGAGTTCTGGGGGAAATCTGAAATTGATGTACATTTGATTAAAAAAATAAACCATGTTAGGTCACCATAAAGATTTATACAACAATCAAATGCAAAAAAACAAAAAGAATACCCTTTCCTTGATTATAAGGGAACCAAGTATTTTTAGAAGCTAAAGCTATTAAGTTTCAGCACCAAAACACTAAACAAAAATTTTTTTATATATTAAAGATTTTATTTATTTATTTTTAGAGAGGGAAGGGAGGGAGAAAGAGAGAGAGAGAAACATCAATGTGCGGTTGCTGGGGGCCATGGCCTGCAACCCAGGCATGTGCCCTGACTGGAAATCGAACCTGCGACACTTTGGTTTGCAGCCCGCACTCAATTCCATTGAGCTACGCCAGCCAGGGCTAAATTTTTTTTAACAGTTGCTTTTTCCGTTTTGTTTTTCGGGTTTTTTTTTTCAGATTTTATTTATTTTTAGAGGGGAGGGAGAAAGAGAGAGAGAACATCGATGTAAGAGAGAAACATTAATCGGTTGCTTCTCACATGTGTGGACCAAATCTGCCACCCAGGTACGTGCCCTGACTGAGGATCAAACCTGCAATCTTTTGCTTTGTGGAATTATGCCCTACCAACTGAGCCACACTGGCCAGGACTTAATGAATCCCTTTTTTAAAGAGTACAGGTCTTTCATTTCTGTTAGATGTCCCTCAAACCTACATACATGTAAGGGCAAAAGAGAAATGGTGCATGCCTTTCTCAGTGCATCACATCAAAGGGTGAGCCTCTTACACCCCTGGTACTGCCAACCCAGCCTGTCAGGTTTCTCCCTCATAAAGCCACTACTTGTCTCTGTAATTCCTAGGTGTCTGATACCTTATCAAATCTCCACTTATCTGCCTTATAATTTGTCTGTGACCCCCATTGGAATAACCACCATGATGATGTTTGTTAAATGGTGATCTTTTAAATCCATCATTTCTCCTTCAGTTTTTAGCTGACATACAGTGTAAGAGAAAGCATTCCTGTTCTCCTGTTTATTCATTTATTTATATAATATGGACTCGTGGATTCTTATTTACTCAATGACATGTAAACCATTACCATATTTCTTTAGATTTTCCCGACCAATAAATTTCTTTTTTTTCAAGATTGTTTTATTTATTTTTAGAGAGAGGGGAAGGGAGGAAGAGAGGGAGAGAAACATCAATTTGTGGCTGCCTCTTGCATGCCCCCCACTGGGGACCCCGCAACCCAAGCATGTGCTCTGACTGGGAATCGAACCAGTGACACTCCTATATGCAAGGCCAGCACTCAGTCCACTGAGCCACACCAGCCAGGGCTGGACCAATAAATTTCTATTTTATTCAATAAATTATAATCAGTTACTATCATTATTATTTTGGATGTCTAAATTATCCCCAACTTTGCAAATGGGAAAGCCCTTCAAGCTAGTTCCTATGTCCTTTTGAAATGTCCTCAACATTTTTTCAGCACTTCCTTACTTTCTGGTACAAGAGGTAATTCAGATTCAATTTTTACTTTTCCTGCTTCAGCTCAGGAATCAGCCATTTCTTCAAGTGGCTCTGGCTTCCTTTAACAGTGGATGGCATTTGGAAACCAAGATATGGATACCAGATTTCCTGAGTGTTACCAGATGCCATTATTTCTAGGCCTCAGCACACAAAGCTAGAAAACATATGAATATATATATATATATATATATATATATATATATATATATATATGAGGTCTGTCTGGAAAAAGTGCATCCATTGTTAACATAATGAAAACAGTTTACTGGCATCCAAGGAGAGTGGACTAGAATGCACATGCATGAACAATGATGACTTCACTGTACTAGTCAGTAGGGGTAGTAGACACTGTTGAGAGAGCATGTGTATTGTGTGGCCATCACATTCAAAATGACTGAGTGAGTAAAGCAACGACTCTGCATTAAATTTTATACTAAACTTGAACATACCTCCACAGAAACTATTCGGATTAGCCAGAAGGACACAGGTATGGGCAATGATGATTGGCAACTTCATCACTACTATGCACCCTCTCATACATCACATCTTGTGCCGAGTTTTTTCATGAAACATCAAATCACCCAGGTGACTAAGCACCCCCACAGCACAGATATGGTGCCCTGCAACTTCTGGCTTTTCCCAAAACTAAAATCACCTTTTAAAGGGAGGAGATTTCAGACCATCAATGAGATTCAGGAAAATAGAGCAAGGAAGCTGCCTGGGGGGACTGTGTGAGGTCCCAAGGTGCCTACTTTGAAGGAGACTGAGGCATCACTGTCCTATGTACACTGTTTCTTGTATTTTGTGTCTTCTTCAGTAAATGTCTTTATTTTTCATATTACATGGCTGGATAGCTTCTGGACAGACCTCATATGTATACACACACACTATTCTAGTTACTATGGCTGCCTAACACACCACCCCAAAATGCAGTGGTGTAAAACAACCATTTTAGTATGCTCATGGATTACTGTGTCCAAAATTCAAAAAGGACACAGGATAGCTTGTTTTTGCTCAGTGATGTCAGCTTAGAAAACTTAAGGACTGAGGGTGACTTAAGTGCTGAAATCATCTGGAGGCATCTTCTCTCATGTGTCTGACAGTTGATGCTGGCTACCAGCTGGATCTCTGCTGGGGTTGCTGGCCAGAACACTTATGTGTGTCCTCCCTATGTAGCCTGGGCTTCTTCACAACATGGCAACATTGGGATAGTTAGAACCCTTACATGGCACTTATGGCTCCAAAGGCAAGTATTGCAGTGAGCAAGGAATAAGCTGTTTCATATTTTCTGGCCTAGCCTCAGAAATTATGCAGTGCGCATCCCAATGTTCATAGCAGCACAATTTACAATAGCCAAGTGTTGGAAGCAACCTAGGTGCCCATCAGTAAATGAATGGATCAAAAAACTATGGTACATTTACACAATGGAATTCTATGCAGCAGAAAGAAGGAGCTCCTACCCTTTGTGACAGTATGGATGGAACAGGAAAGCATTATGCTAAGCAAAATAAGCCAGGTGGTGAAAGATAAATACCATGTGATCTCACCTTTAACAGGAACCTAATCAACAAAACAAGCAAACAAGCAAAATATAGCCAAAGACACTGAAATAGAGAACAGGCTGACAGTGACCAGAGAGGAGGGAATTTCAGGGGAAAAGGTGAAGAATTTGCAGGAACAATTATCCTGCAAAAATAAAAGACACATGGACAAAAACAAGGTGGGGGGGTGGAAATGGGAGGGAGGTGGGGAGGGCTGGGGAATGGGCTGGAATGGGAGTAAAAGGCAGAAAACTGTACTTGAACAACAATTAAAATTTAAAAATAATTATAAAAATAAAAATAAAGAAATTATGCAATGTGATGCAGCATGCCTGCATTCTATCGGTTATGAGAGAGTTACAAACATGTTTGATTTACTGTTTGATTTACATGGAGGAGACATAGACCTTGTAGACCCACCTCTTGTTGGAATAAGTGAGAGGCTTCAAGGGAGAGTAGTAGGTGGAGAAGAGGAGAATAGGAATATAGACAACTCTTTTTTAAATTGAATTTGTTAGGGTGACATTCGTTAATAAGATTACATAGATTTCAAGTGTCTGATCTGTTTTTAAAGATTTTATTTCTTTATTTAGAGACAGAGGAAGGGAGGGAGAAAAAGGGAGAGAAACATTAATATGTGTGAGCGATATCAATTGGTTGCTTCTCACAAACCCCCAACCATGGACCTGGCCCACAACCTAGGCATAGGCCCTGACTGGGAATAGAACCAGTGACCTTTCAGTTTGCAGGCCAGCACTCAATCCACTGAGCCACACCCGCCAGGGCTGTACAGCCAACTCTTTTAAAGAAGTTTGTCATAAGAAAAAGAAGAGAAATGCAGCATAATGTAGAAGGAGAGGTGGGGTCAGGAGGAAAGATTTTTTTAAATGATTTGTTCTGGTATGAATAACAAAGTAGGGAGGAAAGGTGACAAGGGATTGAAGAAGCAATTGTAGGAACGATGTCCTTGAGTGAGAGAGGCTGGGATTCAGTGAACAAGTGGAAGAGCTAGCTTTAATTTTTTAAATTTTTTTATATCTATTGAAGAGAGAGAGAGAAAAACAGAGATTGGTTGCCTCCAGCATGTGCTCCAACTGGGGACCAAACCCATAAACTAGGTATGTGCCCTGACTGGGAATTGAATCCAAAACCTTTTGGTGCACAAGAACATGCTCCAACCAACTGAGCCACACTGGCTGGGCAGAAGGAGTAGCTTTAGATAGACACATTTGTGGTGCCTTGCGGGAAGACAGAGTCTAAGGATAGAAATGTAAGGTGGCAAGGAGTTTTAGTAGGAGGGGGAAAAAGGAGTTCTC